TTTAAATTTAATTTAAAATTCTAGTCTAGATCTATATAGATAAAATAATATATAATTATATAAAATATTTTTTAACTAGATCTAGTAGTAGATTTTCGGATTTTTTACAGATTAGATTAATAAAAATTCTAGTAGATTCGGGTCAGATGCGGGTTATCACGTAAAAACCCGATCCAGAGCCGGGTTTGGGGCGGGTCCTAGATCTTGAACCCGAACCCGACCCGATGCCAACTCTATTCGTTATATTATCGCTACTGTTACCCAGACTATACTAGATCACTCATCATTATCGATCACTAGTAGATTCTAGTCATCGGAGTAAGTCAGATCTAACCAAGATAGCTAACTGGCCGCAGAGTCCTTGGACAGATACCCGGGCGTAACATTGGAACCGGGACTGCACTATTCCTAGATCTAATTAGAAGTAGATCACAGGATAGATCCAATCACAATATACGAGGTTGTATACTCCCAGTATACTCCCTTGGAGATAGGTCTTGGAGTAGACAGTTATATAGTGATATTGTCGACTATTTCGCGAATATTGTTATCGGATACCGTTTATAACTATCTTGTTGGTTATTGTATAGTCTCTCCTTGTCCTATCATTTTTCCGCCTTCTGTGCCCGCTTCCGCACAAGATACACTAGATAAGGGTCTGTAACACTATAATCCTGATATCTGACTCTATATAATATATAATGATAGATATTGTATTACAGTAGAAATATACCATAGATTCTCTCTATATAATCAACACGTGATCACTTCCCTTCCAGGGGTACTAATTTTTTTCTCCCGCGGTGTCGTTCTTCTCTAATCACTTCTTACCTCTGCGAAAAAAACCTGCAATCTACCTTTTACAGTACTTGACTTGGCTTCGAGCAAATGGCCGATCAGACTACCACCAATCCACCGCCTGCAATAGCCACGGCCTCAGACGCGGACTCAACGATGCGGCAGGCCGTGGACCGGTTCCGCGCGCGTATGGGTGCCGCCAACCGACAGTTTATCCATGACCGCATTGCTGAGATCGAGGATCACGGGCTGGCAAATGAGCAGGAGAAGATCCAACGGATGGCAGAGTGGCGCCATTTCGGGGCGCTGGACTCTGACGGCGAGTCTGGCGGCTACAATAATCCCGCTGCGGAGCGGACAGCGAATCAATTCAGGCGGACCCGGCGTCTGGCAGAGGTGCCCGCCCTAGCGGAGGATGCGCTTCCCCTCTTCGCCATTGACGGGATCTATCCGACGCGGCTGCGCACGGATGAGGCGCGGCATATCTACCTGGACACCCTGCAGGAGGTGTTCCAGCGGCAGGCAGAGGAGTGGGCTGCGGCGGAGGGCGAGGAACCCCCCGGGTTGATCCCGCGCTGCGACGAGCTGGGCCGGTTCCTGACGTACGCGCACGAGGTGGCGGATCCGGACTTCCGCCGCTCCGGCGTGGCCCCCTTCAAGGCAGGACTTTATATTATGTCCGGGCTGGACGAGCTTCTGACAGAGGGGCTTGACTCGAACGAGCAGCTCGAGCGGTACCATGAGCGCGTCCGCCAAGAGTGCACGCGGCTACGGGAGAATCTCGAGGACGATCAGGTATCGCGACTGATTAACAAGATTTCAATCATTGCAACCCCGGACTGCGATATGGAAGTCAAGGCGGGTCTTATCACCGGTGAGGGCTATGTGGGTCATTACCCCCGGTGGTATAGTGCCTATCTGTACTGCCGTCAACGTCCGGATGATAACGAGGACGACGAGACCAAGGGTGAGAACGATGACGCCCCGGATGCCCGCAACATCCAGGACTGGAGGTGGCGGGTTGTCTTTATGGAGTTTGAGGGCGACTCCTACTAGGGTCAAGTCCTGTATGGGCGCAAGCCGCGATTTGACTCGATCTCCGAGTTTCTGGATTGGTACAGTAGCTGGTCGGACTATCTCGATGCCCAGACATTACTGAGTCTCCGCCGTCACGCGCATGGTTGTGAGACCGACTGTGAATCGGACTGTGAAGATCATATTAAGTACTGAACAGCTTCTATTCCTCCTTGTACAGATGAGAGAGAATATATATTAATTTTCTATTAATTATAATATTTTATATGATATAATACTCTCATATTATTACTATAAGTATTAATTATTTTATTATATTATTGTAACGGCGGTATAATATATAGGTGCCCCCAGGGCATTCGGGATCGTTGATCCCGAATTATATGACCTTTTGGCTTTGTGGAATGGGGTGCCCTGGCTCTATCTCTTACAGTAACCATTTATATTGTACCACATTGTAAATAGATTACGAAGGATTGCCTGGCGGAGACTGTTCCTTGGTGCAATGAGGCATTTCTTCGTAACAAACAGGTGGCGTTGAGCTGTAAGTTACTTTAGTGAAAGAGGGTGGGGCTTCGGCCTTAGGTTATTCCTGCTCCTTGGTCGACAGGACCTCCATTTCGACGACTGGAACTTTCGCTCAGAACATCTAGCAGCGTCTCCATCGCCTCAGTCAGACAATTGGACGAGCCGATCTCAGTTGAATCGATCTCATTTCACACTGCTCAGTATTTGGGTATCGTTTCCGCCTAACTTAGGACCTCATAAATCTCAGTATCCTTAACACTGTACAGAATATTCACCTGCACTCGGTGTTCGTATGTCTCAGATACTGGAGGGAAACCAAGACGTTGGGTGTAGCATAATTGTCAATGCAAAATACTATGCAGCATGCTCTCACGGAATCGCACACTTACAGGCTGCGGAACCTGTCGACATCGCCATGTAAAGTGTGACGAAGCGAGCCCTGTTTGCGAGAACTGCCAACAACAAGGCCTGGCCTGTCTCGGCTACGAGCGTCAGCTAGTCTGGGCGAGTCATGATGGAAACCGAGTATTTCGCCGCCCCCTATTTTCCAGTAGATCACCTTTCAGGCCCATACAACGAAAAAGCTTGCTTGCTAACTAGCGTCTCAGAGGCCAACCAACTGAGGATGACACAACTGATGACAGAAAGTCTTGGAAAGCAGTCCGCAAGTGCTACTTTGGCTCGGCTGGAAACTGAATACGAAAGCGGCGTACCCTTGGAAGGCGATTTATTTCGAGGCCCTTTCGGTATTCTGGTATTGTCGACCAACGGGTTTGCAGATAATAACCAAGCCGAGCCGCAGTCCGACCAATCTGATCGCAACCAGTTGGAATGGGATGTCTTCTGGCACACTATTACAGGTGACACTGCCATATTTGATGGGCCGCATAATGTGCCCGGTGGCTCATGCGATTTTATTATACCGGACCCCTTTCTGGATATTGATACTTTGACGAGTGATGCGCAGTCTCTCCTTCGTCCTTTAATGGACCCGCATTCTGACGAGTTTACATACCAGTCCCCCTCTTCATCTCTGGCACCAGTCTTTCCACCCTTTGAGGTTTCTTCAGAGCGCCCGACCATACCTCCTGAGACTGCCGATCTGCTGCGTTACTTTAAAGAGAATGTGATTTCGCTCTTATTTCCTTTGAGGAACTGCCGGTATTGTCCCTGGCAGACAGTCCATTTCCCAGGGGCAATGAGCGCATTCGCGGACCTCAGCATTCACCATACCACAAGCCACACTAGGCTGTCGCTGTTATATTCGCTTCTTGCTGCTAGCTGCCTCCATAAGTATACACACGATGATTCTGCTGGTGACCTGCATATATCAGCAAAGCGATTTAAAGAAACTGCCAAGCAACATCTCGAATTGGCCCTGAACCAGGAGGCTGTAGGATCTAAGCAGGCCAAGTACAAAGAGATACTGATGGCTGTTCTCAGCATGGTCATGCTCTCGGTACGTGCTTATCAGGCAGCTGATAGCATCTCATGTAACTAACACATACCATAGGTTTTCAACGGCGAAAATACTAGTGCCCAAGCTTTCCTAATTGACGCGGAATATCTTATTCGCATACGTGGCCTCCCTAAACCACACAAATCCCTCAAGGTCCGATCCTTGCACCACGTCTATACATTCCTGCGCATCATGGCCGAAAGCACATGTGGATGTGCCTTACTAGACATTTGCCCCGACCGTCCCAGCGCCAGCTTACTCTCAATCGAGCCATCACCAAATTCTCTACGGAGCTTCCGCGTGGCCGACGACATCCTAGGTGCTGAGCTCGACATGTCGCTAGTCAAAGGCAACATCATCGGCCACAATGACATTCATCTAGAGGTAATGGGGGAGTGGAATGACACGCTCTTCCCGGACATCTACGGAATACCAGAGTCTCTCATGAACCTTCTATCACAGGTTATTCGCCTAGCTAACGAGCAAGAGCTACTTCATCGCGGCGGCCCGACCGTGGACGCGCGTACCACAAGAGAGTTAAAGCGGCGCGCGAGCATGCTCGAGGAGTACATTCTCTCATGGAAGCAGCCTCCTGAATTGAAGCCAAGCAATCTAACAGCGATGAAGAACGGTCAGGATACTGCCATTAGCCAGAACCTGACAGCAAACCATTTCATGATTCAAGCCATGCATCAAGCCATTATCTTGTTCTACTATCGTCGCGTCCCCAACATCAGCGCTGTAATCCTGCAAGATACTGTCCGCAACTGTCTGGAGTTTCTGAAACGCTACGACAAAACCCGCATCGAAGATAGTGAGACTGCGCCGCCCGATACGCCCGATACAGCAATCCTCTGGCCTGGCTTCGTTGCAGCCTGCGAGGCATTAGACCCCGAATTGCAGAGCGGCCTGCTAGATTGGCTTATCATGACCGGCCATCGGACCTCATTGGGCCCGTTTTCTGCAGCTGCAGGGACTGCGCAGTGCGTCTGGAAGAAACGGTTAGAGACCAAGGACTACACGTTGAGTTGGTTTGATGTTATGAAGCATGAACGATGTCCAATTATTGCGACGTGACGCTTTCACTTGAATGGTAGACCAATCATCTGAGAACATATTACGATCGATGGAAGCTCTAGATCTTAGGATGAGATTTGAGCCGCAACGCTTCGTCCATAACAGCTCTGGGGATCTCCTCTTCCATGCTGGGACCAGCCGGCTTCCAGCTTAGCAACTCTCGCGCCCGAGATGCCGTATACTGGGCGTTAGACCCCCAGAGCACGGCTCCGTGTGCGGTCAATTTATCTGCAATCTCCGCGTTGATTTCCTGAACATATGTGCTCTTCGTGAAGCCGTTTTGGAAAGCAAACGCGGCTACTCTCCTTGAAATCTCCCCGAACGGCTGCAATAAGATATCAGCCAACGTGACAACAAGAAGGGGAACTAAAACACGAACCATCTTTCCGTTTTCCGCAAAGTAAATGCCGTTCTCATTCCACAACAAAGGATTCCCGCCTTGACGGACCTCCGCTTCCTGAACCAACCTCACAATCAAGTTTGACAAATCCGCAATGTGAATATTACTCCAACAGCTCAGACCCTTCCCGACCTGAAATCCATGGCCAAGCTGAAGGGTCGCCTTCGCCAGATCCGGTAGCTGGATGCTGCGCTGACTGACTGGACCGCGGCCCAGGCCATAGATCAATGGCCCATAAATAATCGCTGTTCAGACATTCGGCTGTTCGGAGGAGAAGTTTAGGAGCATCTGGTCGACGGCGCGCTTGGGTGATGAAGAGATGATGTTTCGGATTTCGCTGATGCCCTGCAGGTCGTCGTGGTTTTGGGCCCGTGCTTGCCCATAGGAACTTGTTGCGACTTCCGCGCCCGAGAGGAGCTTGCGCCCGAGATTTGGATCCAAACTGCGATGAAAAGCTTTTAGGGTGGCGTTCATAAGGTACTTCAGGGGAAATAAGTAGGTCTATGGATACCTGGACTTTGGCGCGTCGTCTTTGTCAAGCCCTGCGCAATGGCAGTAGCACTGGGGAGATGGTTCGAGCTTGCTAGATCTTTCGGGCAGCAGTTGTTGGTTAGATAACATATATCTAGCACTCACGAGAATGGATAGATTCTTTGTGCTTATACGTACGAAGCACCACATCAGCCTCCGAAGCCTCGCTCGCAATTTGCGCCGCGGAATCAAGGTTTCCAATGACCGGAGTCACAGATGGAAATCTGCTCGTGATAAGGGATTCCTTCTCCTTGCTGCGCACGAGGGCCGTGAGCTTGCACGAGCGAAATGCCTGTGTAAGGGCACACAGGACGTCGCCGCCAATGTAGCCTGTTGCCCCTGTTCTGGAGATGGGTTCGTGACGGGTCACCAAATTGTGGTGTGTGGTGGATATACATCAATATGCGGGACATGTTGTGTAGGCTGGTGAGGTGCGCAGGGAATGGGAGTGAGGTCGCAATACAAGGGAGGAGTATGAATTATCCGCAAATATATTGGTGGCGTGCAGTAAAGTACCACTTCGGGAAACCCTGCCTAATGGGTGCGAGATCCACCACATGTGGCTTAGCAAGCCGGCAGCTTATCGCGATGAAGGGAAGGTGGGAAGGTCTGACATAAGCAATGACGTGCGAAGTCTTGCTGTCCTTCGACCACGCCGCATTGCTTTGTTGGTTACCCGGAAGTACACCGGACCCGAAATCCCAAAATCTACGGGAATACAGTTGAAATGCTAAAATCCTTCGTGTATGTGTGCAATAAATGGTATCTAATACTCTTGTTTATATCTCTTGGCGGGGTTTGGGTTGAGGGGCCACACCCAACCCGCGATTTGGCGAGGTCCAGCTGTCCTCGAAAGTCGTACAATATGTCCGTAACAGCGTGTCGATGAGTCTGTCCGACATATTCGGATGAAGTTTTCTAGCTGAGCTTAATCCAAAAATCAAATAGGTATAATGTATTACAAACACGACTAACTATCTACTTGTGGCCTAGCATACATCGACGGTGTAGTGGGCGGCTCACAACGCCAAGATGTCTCGAAGCTACTATAGTGAGATATAGAGGCTCGCACAGTTTTGTCACATACCCAAAGTCCTGTCTGGGAGTCTTTGGTTTATGCTTACGTATGAGAGGAAGTCAATGGTCGAATAGGGAAATCTATCCGGTAAGGCTATCGCGATTCCACCAGATTACCGTACTAATTCGACAGTAATTTGGACCCGCTCAATGGCCATAGCATTTACTGCAACAGGTATCGTAAACGTCCAGCTACTAAAGCTAATGTTTACTGCGTGTATGTTTACTGCTTGGTGGAGCCTCTGTAAAGAGAATTGAGACTTGCAAATATCTAACCGAAAGGCGGATATGGCAACTTATAACGACATGAGGAAAGTAGAGAGATATGTTTTTGGCCACCAAGGATCCAGAGTGAATACTGTTAGGTATCTTATCACGATAGCAGTGACGGTGAAGCCTGTATATAAACCCTTGAACAACTAGAGCATCCCATACCAAATATTGAATATTCATCGACCATTTGCATTTGCGCTCAGCCACAATGTTTACCAGCAAAGTTCCTACCCGCCAGCATTACGACGTAGTTATCGTCGGCGGTGCCACCAGTGGCTCCTCTATTGCATGGCATCTAGCGGCAAATCCAGACTTCAAGGGCTCAGTGCTCGTTGTCGAACGAGACCCTTCCCTAGAGTATTCCGCTACCAAAGCCAGCAACAACTGCATGCGCCAGCAATTCGCAACCGCCATCAATGTCCAGATTGCGCAATATGCAGCCGATTTCGTTAAGCGCTTTGGCACCGAGTTTCCCCCAGACCCCCGCGACGTACCCTTTACCCCTTCAATTCGCAACTTTGGATACCTCTATTTATCCGATTCATCCAAGTTTACGGGAGTGCTGAAGAAGGACCAGGAGCTGCAGGCTAGCTTGGGAGCCGGCACTCGAATTATTTCAAGGGCCGATGTCCAGCAAAAGTACCCATTCTTGTACACCGACGACCTGGACAGCGCGAGTCTGAATGTTGTCGATGAAGGCGCATTTAATGCCTGGGGTATGGTGCAGTGGCTGCGTAGCACTGCCCAGGCAAACGGCGTGGAGTACATTGCGAATGAAGTCATCGGTGCAGAATTAGAGGAAACGGGTGATAGGGTGCGAAGCATCAAACTACGCACCGGGGAGCAGATCGTCGTCGGCACCTTGGTGAATGCTGCAGGAACTCGCGCTGCTACGGTCTCTGAAATGGCAGGCATTGCCGGTTTGCCAATTGAGGCTAGACGACGCTACACCTACATCTTCTCTGTTGATGAGAGCCTGACCCAGGATCTCCCTCTAACCATCGATCCGTCAGGTGTCCATCTCCGTTCCTACGGCGAAAAAGACTACCTCGTTGGTTGCCCCCCCATCAAGTCAGACACTGCGGTGGATGTAGACGATTTCAGCTTTGCAGAGAATGTATGGGAGGAGAAGATACTTCCGGTTATTACGCGCAGGGTACCTCAATTTGCCAGCGCACGCGTGACGGATTCTTGGATGGGTCATTATGAGTTTAATACGTTCGACCATAATGCTATTGTTGGGCCACACAGCAAGGTCAGCAATTTCCTTTTCTGTGTGGGCTTTTCTGGCCATGGTAGCCAACAAGCTCCGGCGTGTGGACGGGGTGTTGCTGAGTTAATTGTTTACGGGCGCTTCCAGACCCTTGACCTCAGTGTGCTTTCGTATAAGCGGATTATTGAGAATCGGCCTCTGATGGAGCGAGCGGTTATATAGAGCAGTAGCCTACTACTTACTATTTGTCTATATGTACCTACCTCAGCCTGACAATTTTCGGCGGTCGCCTGCATCCAAGCCTTTCGGTCTAGACTTACATCCAATGCCCGTAGAGTCTCCATAACATGAAAGTGTAAGATACCTTGGTTGTGACGCTTGCAGAAATGAGAGTGAGTTCGTTCCCAAGGGCCCCAGTGGAAGTGGTTCGTTGTCATCTGGATGCTCAGTCATGTGTGGGTGTCCAAGTTATGGCTGAAAGAAGCAACAGGCGATTCTGAGCCTGAGTATCTTCCATGTCTCGCCCAATAAGATGATGAGACATTACAGAAATCAGAAGGCCTTTCCATGTCGACCACTGAGAGCGGTCTAACAACCGAAACAGCAAGGCCCTAGTAGTTAACATAGCGTAGTTTCAAGCTGTTTGGGTCCGAGAACCATCCTCCCTTAACTTCGGCAATGCATGCCTTATCGAGAGTCGACCTTTTATACTAGGCAGTGATCTGCTGATCGGATTCAGCAATGTTTCCTGACGCCGAACGCCTCGTCAAAAAGGGGTTGCGTCATGCAAAAGCCTTGGCACTGCTCTCCGCCGCTTTTCCTACAAAAAGTGTTGACAAATATCTACAAAACTGACCTGACAGCAAAGGTCTATTATTCAGTGAGAACATGGCAGACCTAGCAACTGGCCCTCCCTGACGCAGCAGTCGGTCATTGAGGCCCACAAGCTCATCAAATCTCACATTCATTGTACTCCTGTCGTGACAAGTACCTTTCTGAACCACCTAGTATCTACAGAGCGGAAAAAGGGCAAAGCCGGTGATTAGAATTTAGTTTAAAGGCGAGAATCTGCAGCGGGTCGGCGACTTTAAAGCCTACGGTGCTTTCACGCTATCGAGAGGCTCAAGAAGGAACCGGGCTGGCTAGAGAACAGTGGTTTGAGAAGAGATACTCCAGTTTTAGCAGGTGAGACATTATCTCCTATTTCACTATATCGGCCTTGATTCTCGCCCTCTAGCCCACTTCATGTCTAATTGAAACATGTAGGTATGCATGCCCAAGTACATACATTGGCTGCTCACGAGAGTTATATGCCTGCGTATATTGTCATATCTGAAACAAGCAGTTCAATACTGTGATGCCAGTCTCACATGTGGTGGTCGCTTTGACCGCGAGGCTGTTGCTGCTTAATAGTAGAAAGGAAAGGTGTTCGGTTGATCCTACCCTATCATTATCGAGGTATTATTCTTGGCCAGAGTAGTATAGACTTGGAGCTTCAGTTATAAGTTGTAGAATTAGATACTATTATTTGGCTATACTAAAGAGGCGGTATTCTTTTGGATATAGCGCTCAGCTGCGAATATACTAAGATTCGACTTTATAGAGCAGAGCCGGCATTCGATGAGACAGACAATAAATAGTGTGGATTTCTAACCGGAAAGAGGATTACCAACCAATATAGATTATATTATATCGAAGTTACTCGAATAATCAGCGCATACTAAGCTCTTGACAGCAGGGCTGGGAAATAATAGTTATATATCTGAAGATCAGAGGAATTTCGAGATCGGCGGTATCTTGTATAAACTCTAGTTTCAATAGAGCTAGATTAGGAGCTATTTATGCTGTGAAGGATAATTAATATACTCTTCCGGGAAGATTGGGAAGGATCTTTGATAGATTTATAGGATATATCAATATAGCAGAATATGCTTATATATAAGAGTACGGGATATACCGTATTCAGAAACTAATTATTCTATATAACCGAGTATTCTACCCCTCCCGAATTCTATATATCTGTTGGGATCGTGGCGGTTAGACTCAGTACTACTGGAGTGGCATAATCTAACCACTATAATCTAATCTAATTGATCTTAATTAGATTAAGATATAAAATTTCTTGATCGATCTTGATATAATTAAATCAAAATTAATTAATCTTTTAATCGCAGTTAACTATAGATTGACATATCAACCGGCATTTAAGTTATACCATAGGCCCACATAGTATCCCCACAAGATATACAACAGTACTTTTCAAATCTGAATTTCTAAATCTCTTGCTATCTTAGGGTCGCTGATACTACTAGTAGCATCCTCATGTCATAATACTACATAGCTCGGCATATTTAACCACCAGATTTAGGATTGGGATAAACAATCACGTTACTCCTCTTTGTAATCATGGTATCTGAGAGGTTGTTTGGCGGAACTCGAAGGTCACATGACCAAGAATTCGTCCACTCGCCCAGTCTCACATGGGGGCAGATCTTCTCCGGCTGTCGACAACGTTTCGACGGCGAACATGCCCAAGTACCCGGACACTCCATGCGCCCACTATAATGTCCTAGGTAATACCTTGTCTTTCCATTGTAGGAACGAAACTATTTCCGGCCAGTAACCCCGTCATGGTGAGGCGACGGGCTTGCGATGGATGCTCTCTGCGTAAAACCCGGTGCAGCGGCCGACAGCCTTGTCAACCCTGTGTCCGCTCGGGATTTGAATGCTCCTACCTGAAACCAATGGCAAAACCCGGACCGAAAGGCCCACGCGCTGAGACCTACACACAGATCAATAAGCGCCTGCAGAGCCTGCGAGAGCGAGCTGGCCGTTGTGCAACAGAAATCGCATCACCCGCCAATGTAAGAGCAGGATTGGCAGAGGTGACCGACTCATCCAGGGTGACACTAGCTTATGATGTCGCCATTACCGAACAGATGCCGCTACTGACTGATGGATGGCCATCGCACCTGCCCCTGGCAGGTGTCTTGGCTCACTTGCAAACCTACGAGCAGAGGATGTATCCCGTCTGGCCTGTGGTTGACACTGCCCGCCTTCGCAATTCCCTCATACTGGACGTGAACAATCTTGAATTACGCGCTTTAGCCTTTGCGGTATGCGCAGCGACCTGCGCTCAGTTGCAGTGTCACTCGGACAATCATGCGCCGCAAGGAAGTGCGGAGGGAAAGTGTGCTATGGCGGATGACTTTGCGAAAGAATCAGATCATTGCCGCACGATGTATGATTACCGGGAAAGTGGCACTTTTGAGGCAGTACTGGTGCCGCTGTTCCTTCACTTTTACTACGGTGCGAAGAAAAAGATCCCGACCGCTTCGCTCTTGCTCCGAGAGTCTGTGACATCGTGTCAGCTTCAGGGATTGGATAAGGAAGATACCTATCAAGATGTAGCCCCGGAAGATGAGCGGTATAGGCGAAGGGCGTTCTGGCTCCTCTATGTGACCGAAAGGGGTCACGCAATTCAGCATGGAATTAATACCTGTCTACGAGACTCCATACGGCCACCAACGCGCGATTGTTCGGACGAACTCCCCCTTGTTGAAGCCTTTGACCGTTTGGTGGGTCTATTTATTGCGGTGGAAGGTGTGCTTCTCGATCGCGGTGGCTCCAGTACTATCATGTGCAGTAAGGAGACGCTCTGTCGGCTACAGAGTCAACTCCGCCAGCGCCTCCAGTGCCTACGGCATACCATGCATTACAGAGAACAGATATTGCTATTACCCAACAGTGGCTACGCATACTACTTTGGCAGCTGTCTTTAAAGAATATTTTCCTCTCGAGCGTTTCGGCTGATGAGAGTATGAGATTGACCTACCCGGTCCATGTGGCAAGAGACGCGATCGTGTTCATCTCCAACGTGCCCCAGGAGACATTTGTGGCACACGGTCCCGGGATGGTGGGTGACTATATATATCACAATGGCATACCCTAAGCTTACTGGATCCAGGCCATCAAACTCTTCGAGATCACAAGTACCCTACTGGATGTGATTCACTGTGTTCCCACCCTCTTGCACCACAATTCAGTGGGAATACACGATATTCTCCACCATTTATGCTATTTACTGTCCTCTCTGAGTCACAGACCATATGGCCTAGAGGTACTGCAGAGAAAATTGCATGTACTAGGTCTTCCATACCGCCACATTCCTGCGCTTTCTCCGGCTGAACGTGGGGATTCCCCAGTCATCGAACCACTCGATGAAGAAAGATTGGATGCATAGTGAACTTTGGCCCACTCGAATCCTTCATGGTAACATTGGTGCATGTGATCACATTTGTCGATGTCAAACTGATTCAGAGCTTCCCCCCCCAAGTCCGATCCTCGCATTTGAACTATCCAGAAGAATCACAAACGATTCAAATGGCTCTACAGCGATGGTGCCATCAGGTAGCACTGGGTGGTGACGTTGATAATTTCCAAGCAGCACAACACCATGTTCAAGAATTGAGGTCGTTTCGGCCGGAACAACCCATTTCACTTCTTTGTCTGTGAAGTTGGCCAACACCAAAGCTGACTGGCCTCCATACATTCGCAGATAGGCGAATAGATCATCGTTCGCTTCATCCACCAATTTGTACGAGCCATATACGAAGAGGTCCTTATGTGTTTTGCGTAGGCTGAGGACCTTTGCCCAGTGTTGGAAAACACTGTTTGGCTTGCCCAACTGGGCCGCGGCATTCCAGTCTTCGTAGTCGTCATGCACATCAATCCATGGGCCGTTGGGCGCAGTGGTAAATCCTGCAAATTTGCCACTGGTCCATTGCATCGGGGTGCGTCCATTATCGCGAGACTTCACGCGGAACTGTTGTAGTGTCACCTGGTGGAGCTCTGTGTCGTGGGGGTATGCAGCCATCATCTCGTCCCAATGATTTAAAGTCTCGATATCCCTGAACTTCTCAATGCCCCAGGTCGCTGGCACATTTATTAGGCCTAATTCCTGGCCCTGGTACACAAACGGAGTCCCTCCTTGAAGACCCAGGAAGGTTGCTAGCATTTTCCCTGCCGTCGCGCGGTATTCCGGACCCGCCGAGGTAAACCGTGATATGGTCCTTCCTTGGTCGTGGTTTTCGAGATAGAGAGCGTTCCAGCCCGCATTCTGGTACATGAAGTCCTGCCATTTGGACACGATATGCTTCAAGTCCGACATGCGATATTGGTGCGGAGAGAATTTGCCTCCCGGGCCATGGTCGATGTCCATGATCTCGAATTGGAACGCCATGGCTAATTCGCCGCGGTCAAAACCCACGGCCTTCCCAATTTCCGCCGGATCATACACATTCGGCATCTCACCGACGGAAAAGGCATCATAATCCTTCAGGATCCGTCCCAGTTCTTGTAGGTATTCGTGGAGACGTGGTCCGCAGCAGTAGTACATCGCCCCATGCTGCCATTGGCTGTTGGCATCGGTGATGGGTGCATCAGGGAAACCTTGGTCCTTGCTGACCATGTTGATGACATCCATGCGGAATCCGCTGACGCCTTTGTCCAGCCAATATCTCATGATCTGGTGCACCGCGGACCGGACTTTGGGGTTTTCCCAGTTGAGGTCTGGCTGCTCCGGCGCGAACAGGTGCAGATAATATTCATCGGTTGTTTCATCGTACTGCCACGCAGAGCCTTTTTCTGGGTATTAGTGACAGGCTGGGGCAACTTTGTGGACGTGGAAACCAGGACTGTACCTCCAAAATAGGCTTTCCAGTTATTCGGCGGCTGACGGACACCATCTACACCGTACTTGGGCTTTTTCCATATGTACCAGTCTCGGTATTCATTGTCTCGGGACGATCTCGAGCGTTTAAACCACTCGTGCTGTTTCCATCATTAATTACGTCTGATGACAGTAGTTGCGGTGTGTAAAATTTCCCAGTCGATCGCTTCTCACTCACCTGGTCGGAAGTATGATTGACCACAAGGTCCATGACATATCTCATCCCCCGTTGGTTTAAACCCTGAATGAGCGCATCCACATCCTTGACCGTACCGTACGGGGCATGGATTTGATAATAATCAGACACATCGTAGCCCATGTCTACCTGCGGGGATTGAAGGATCGGAGAGAGCCAAACGAGATCGACCCCAAGGGCCTTCAGGTAGTCGAGCTCCGAGATGATCCCTGGGATATCGCCGATTCCATCCCCGTTGGAGTCCTTGAACGAAGCCGGATAGATCTGATAGACAGAGGCCTCTTTCCACCAGGCCCTCTTCACAGGTGACAACTGAGTCTTACGCTGGGTAGCCATTTGTGAGTGACGATGGTTGGATGATGAGAAAGACTGGGGGCAGGGAGGGACCAGTTATCCACTGGCTGAGAGGCGATAGTTGGGATATTTATGTTCACCCGGTGAAAAACACATGGTGAAGTGACGTAACACCGTTGCTCTAATGTTGACCCCTGGGGCGAGTTGTCCAGCCTACTCAGTGAATGAAGTTGGGGTCTGTCTTGTAGCCGAGCCTCGTGTCTCCGACTCCGGCCAGCGCCCGTCCCGAAAATCTCCCCGGGAATCTCCCCGAAAATCTGGCCAAAGAATTCCGCCGGGAATCTCGCCGCCGTGCGGCTTCTCATTGGTGCCCATGGCTAAACTTTGTCTGGAGAGCGCGCTTGACCCAACGAGGGTTAGCGTCTTCACACCACTGATCGTGTTTCTTTCGGGTCCAGACCCCAGACTCCATACATGCTGCTTTTCCCCTACCAGGCATTCTCCACGCAAGGGAAAAAAACGTGATCTGGGGAACAGGAGGGCGGGGATCGCAAGTGCAGAAACTATCACCGGCTCTTCGTATTCAATGATGTCTATAAGATCGAACGATTTCCTCTACTGTGCTCTGAATCTTTGTTCTGTTGCAGAATGCAATCGTTCTCTCCACACTGATTGAAGTACATCACTTAGACCACCTATCCCGTCCACCTGAAGTTCAGCAACATCCTTAACAGCACCCTTTGTTACTGGCATCATGGTCGCTGGCGGTGGAGTTGTTTCTGCGTCCGGCATGGATGTGTACCGGGCGCTGCCAAACAACACAAACGCCAACTGGCTCAAGGACAGGGGCCTTCGGCGCCTGAATTTCGGCCTCATACTTATGTTTGCCTCCGCTGCAGCAAATGGGTATGACGCTGCTTTGATGAATGGGCTCCTGACCCTCCCTATGTGTGAGTTCTCGTGATCACATTGTCCTCTACCGCTAGCGTATACAGCGCTGATCTGAACGGCCCACAGTTGCAAAGAATGTCGGCGAGAATATAAGCTCGAACATAGAGGGCCTGATCATTTCAGGGATTTCCCTAGGAGGCACGATCACCTTTATACCGGCTTCGTACTTCGCGGATTACTTCGGCCGCAAAATGTCCGTCGCACTTGGATCGGCCATCATGATTGTCGCGAGTGTGATCCAGGCGGCCACCATCGGTCGCTGGGCTTTCTTTGGAACGAGAATCGCGATGGGGGTTGGCCTGGGTTTTGCACAGACAGCTGCTCCGCCGTTGACGACTGAGATAGCTCACCCACGGCATCGGGGCGTGGTGACGGCCATCTTTCAGGCTACTTGGTACTGGGGCGCGATTCTGGCTGCTGCGGTGTGCTTGGGGACGCTCTATGTTGAGGATAGCACCTGGTCCTGGCGGGTTCCTTGCCTTGTCCAGTGTTTCTTCCCGGCGGTACAGTTGCTCGGACTGATTATCGTTCCGGAAAGCCCGCGGTGGCTCGTGTCGAAGGACCGGCGCGACGAGGCCTTGCAAATTCTCGCCCGCTACCATGGGAATGGGGACACGTCCGATCCCTTGGTTCAGTTCGAATTCTCTGAAATCTGTGGCGCAATCGATCTAGAGAACTCAGCCGCCCATAAAAGTGGCTGGTCGGCATTCATCGCGACCAAAGGAGCTCGGCATCGCCTAGCAATTTGTCTCCTGGTCGGGGTGATGATCCAGTGGGCAGGTAATGGTACGTACAGCGCTCTTCACATGGGTCGTGTCCGTCTTGCTGATTTGCCTCGTGTTCAGGTGTCATCTCTTATTATCTCGCACCAATTCTGCGATCCGTTGGCATCACCAATCCCACGCAGCAATCCGCCATTAACCTGGGCCTTCAGGCGTGGAACGCAGTCTGTGCCGCCGGAGGTGCCGTTGCCGCCGAGAAATACGGCCGACGCCCGCTCTGGATGCTCTCGACGGTGCTGATGCTGCTCTTCTTTTCCCTGGCGACTGCCCTGTCCGCCGTGTTCGATAAATCGGCCATCCAGGCGGCTGGCAGCGCGGTCGTCGCATTCCTCTATCTGTTCTACGGCGCCTATGATATCGCCTATACCCCACTCTCCATTGCGTACCCGGTCGAGATCATGCCGTTCTACCTGCGCACCAAGGGCTTGTCGCTAAGCCTAACGGCGCAGTTTGCCGCGGGCTTCTTCAACCAGTTCGTGAACCCCATTGCTCTCGGTGCGATCCAGTGGAAGTTCTATTTGGTGTACCTTGGTCTGCTGGTCAGTTTCGTGGGGATTGTGTACTTTGTGTTTCCTGAGACCAAGGGCCACACGCTTGAAGAGATTGCCGTCATCTTCGACGGCCCGGGGGCAGAGACGGAGATCCAGCGGGATCTGGCTGCTGTCATTGCGTTAGGGGGGGATGTTAAAGCTCCTCTGAGGGAGGAGTTGGAACACGCTCCATAAAAGGTGATGCGCGGTAGCGTATGATTGACGATTATCTCTCCTGGAGGTGGTACCCCTGCAGGAATTGATGCATGTTGCGTCTCGGTAGAACAATCTCCCGCTTGAGCGGCTTCACATGAATTAATCATTTTTGGTTAAAGAAGGCATTCAGTATACATATAGTACAGTATAGTATAATGTTGATTGAAAACGTCCCCGAATAGTGCAGCTACGAACAGAACAGATCGGAAGATATGTACCAGTGGGGCCGACGAGGGATCGGCTGCGGACCGGAAAATATCTCCGAAGGTCGCTGAATCGTTTGTCCACTGAGGCCCGTGGCAAGCTGAGAAGTGGGCACAGACAGATATATACTAAGAAGATGGAGGAATTTCAGAGATTGTTACAGGGTCGAGAATTATAAGCGAGGCAGTGATTCATAGGCTGGGGTCTGAAATTCCAGGGGTTGTGAATAATATTACGCCAACACTTTCCCTTTACACCTATCATTCTATCACTGGAATGAGAGAGAGCAATAGCCGTCGTGAGGCCAATCAGGATTAGTGGCCGAGATACAAAGACCACTAGAAGTGTCAGAGATCATTGAACAGCGGCAACGATCAGCCTGGCTCTCAGCCCGCCTCAGCGTTAGTATACTCGGTGGTTGCCGTCAAGGAAGGTCCGTGGCCATGGAAGGATTCAAAATTAGGCCAAAGGACCGAGCCCACACTAACCGGCTCGGCGTCCGGTCCGTATTCTGCTGATAGGACAGTGGGCGCAAGGGTCGCGGACACGTCTGGCTCCCTGGTTGGTTGGTTTCTTTATCTAGCATCGTATTCGATGCCGCTGTTACTGTTAGGCCAGACATTGGCACGGGTGAGACCTGACTGTGATGGCTGGTGACTGGGCGCCTTAAGCAGAGTACTACTTATATAAGGACGGTGGAAAGGGCTGACACCCTGCCTCTGTGCTGTAATAACCAACCAGCGCCTACCTACCTATGCACCTACCAAAGGACTCACTCCAACAAATGCCAATTTAAAGACTGTTCAAGTGGAGCGAAAGCCAAGCGATTAGGTCCTGTAATGATGATGGAAACGCAAATAACTAATCTGGCAATAATTGGTGCTGGTAAATTCGCCCCTCTTATATCCTCAGACTCCTTTACCCTATATGTTCACCAGGAGCCACTGCAGCTAACCACGATCCAAAATTGATCGCGACAGGTTGGCATGGTCTCGCGGCTGCCAAAGCAGCACTCGAGCTCGATCCTAGTGTCAATCTGGTGGTTCTTGATTCCGCCGCCTCAGTAGGGGGTGTCTGGGCAGAGGAACGCTTATATGCGGAACTCAGGACGAATAACCGACTGGGATCATATGAATATGGTGACTTTCCCATGAGGGACAACATTCCCGGCTTGGTGAAACCTGGTGAGCATATGTCAGGCAGGGCGATGCATGAATATCTGAAAGCGTACGCTGCCCACTTCGGGATCCGCGACAAAATTAAGTTGAATTGCAAGGTTGACAGCGTGGAATACTGCGAGGGAGATGATGGAGGGGGAAAAGAGTGGGTCATTAAATGCACAACAACAACAGAACCAGGACACGCGAAGAGCAATACTATACGGACGCGGAAACTGATACTTGCTACGGGCCTTACCTCGCAGCCGCGTATTCCTACATTCTCTGGCCAGCAATCTTTCGGCGCGCCATTGTTCCACGCAAAAGAATTCGCTCTTTACCAAGACACCATCTTCGCTAAACCCAGCAATAACAACACAGGCGACCAACATGAAGGCACCTGTGACGACCAGACACCAATAACAGTACTCGGTGGAAGCAAATCCGCGTGGGACACCGTCTACGCCTGCGCATCAAAGGGACACTGCGTCAACTGGGTCATCAGAGACTCTGGGACTGGGCCCGCATGGGTGAGCCCGGCCGCTATTTTCTCGCCCTTCAACCTCCTCCTCGAAAGCCTCCCTCTCGTGCGTGCCTTGGGCTGGTTCAGCCCCTGCGCCTGGGTGAGCCACCCGATACGCAACTTCTTACATGGGACGTGGCTCGGCTGTATTATTGTGCGTTTGTTCTGGGCCTCCCTGGAGTGGGATATGGTTCGGGTCAATCGATACAGCGATCATGAGGAGACAGCGAAGCTAAAACCCTGGTTTAATCCTATCTGGATGGGGACCGCGGTGAGTATTATCAATTTCCCGGGTGATTTCTTTGGATTGATCAGGCGGGGACTGGTGAAGGTGCATATTGCCGATGTTGAGCGACTAGAGCCTTATAGGGTCGTTCTGTCAAATGGCGGCGGCAGGCTGGACACGAGGGCACTTATCCTGTGCACAGGCTGGAAAGTATCTCCAGGCATTCGGTTCTTACCGGATGGAACTGAACAAGAGATGGGCTTCCCGTGGGCTGCGGACCCAATTGATCAGGAGCTCGTTAGGCAGGCACGCAAAGACATATACACGCGTCTACCCATGCTCCACACTGGTCCAGAGAAGAGGACGTACCACACGACGGATGCGGAGGGTCAAATACAAACTAATGAAACCATTCTGCACCCCTTCCGTCTCGCGCGCTTCATTGTCCCCCCAGGACTATGGGACGACCATAGTATCGCCTTCCTAGGGACCGTAACAACGTTCAACACATCCATTGTTGCCGAGGTGCAAGCCTTGTGGGCGCTAGTCTACCTTAGCCACGGCTCTGAGCTTCATCATCATCAAGACAAGGCGTTAGTAGTTAACGAGACAGCACTGCACACAGAGTTCTGTGCGCTGCGCTCCCCAGCGGGTCATGGGGTGCGGACTGCCGATTTTGTCTTTGAGGTCATGCCGTATTTGGATATCTTGCTTGGGGATTTGGGCTTGAGTACTGCAAGAAAGGGGTCGTGGTGGGAAGATTTGTTTGTGCCGCATCAGCCGAGGGATTATGCGGGGTTGGTGGAGGAGTGGAAGGCGCGACTATCTATATCCCAGGAGGGGCGGAAGATAAAGGCTACTTAGGGGTGCAGAGAAGACTTTGTACGGGGTGGTTCTGCGTTACTTTTCATGCTAAATATTTTGATTGATTTCATTTATAGATGTTAGTTCAAGGGGATCTGAATGACCTTGGCCACTAGGCAGACGGCGTGAATCTAGATTATATATGACACTGATAATGTTGCACTCCGTTGATGGCCTGATTCAATGTAAGCCGTGACCTTCGTGAGATAGATCACTAGCTCTACGACGGGCCAGCCTGACCGCATTGAGCATAATGTTCACCTATCATGTAATCCTGTCAGTCATATATTTCATCCGACGCAACCATGATGCCATGGACAGTGGTCGGAATGTTACAGGAAATCTAGCAGAAATAGCACATGTGCACTGCTAGTCTCCAACTAGTGATGCTGGAGAAGAGCCTCGCTGACGCCAGGTTCGTTCTCAGTAACCGGAGGTACTGGTATGTATGATGATAGATAGGGACAGGGACAGCAGCGGACACAGACCATTGCATAAAGCACCTCAATCCGAGCAGTACACGAACAGGAAGTCTCATATGTAGTACCTACTGTAACTGGCCCTGTTTACACTGCCTTGTCCACTGATTAGCTGAAGGCTGACCCTAAATCAATAACTTTCATCTAGTTGTGTGTCACATGTCATATAGAGATTCTTTTAGCCATGCTTCCACTGATTATGTCTGCAGCAAGTTTTATATATATATTAATAATATCTTACCATCGTACTATTTTGCAATACAAAATAAGGGAAAGTTCCTACCCCTTCAGAAGAATGGAAGATATAAAAGCAACACAAACGTGAATTTATATACAGCTGACTTTATAGGGCGAAGTTAAAACCGAAGGATTTGCGTATTAGAGAAGAGGTGCTGGAGTGAGACGTTGGAGCAAACTATATTTCTGCCTATGGGACCCCTACTCTACAGGTTCTCGAGGTCAGTTAACAGGTCTAGTTGATTTGTTCTTGAAATCTACTTACGTCCAGAAAAGAGTTCTAACAATGGTACAAGATTCTGAATTGACAGAATTACAAGACTTCTGATAGATCTAATGGCTGAATTGTTGACGAATAGGGGATTTTTAAGTTGGATATGTCTATCTTCCAAAGCTACCTGGGTTCCTTTGGCTTCCCTTCTGTAAAATAAGAGTGAACGGGCATTGAATACTACGGGAAGGTAGAAGTATATTGTTCTAGATGCTTGACGATAACAGTTCCTTAGAATATTCGCCTGGGGGTGTGATGCAGTGAATCTTATACGTGACTTGATTTAATTAAATTGCGAGTGCTAGATAGCTACACGCGGCATTTGGTCTCCTGAGAGTATACACCTACACATCCCATTTCCTTTGAATCACGAGATATATTATATCTGCCCTCACGAATGGTTATTGATCGTCTCTTGCCACGTTGTATCGCGTCGGACGCGGATCGTATTAAGTGGAATTTCATTTTCTAAAAGCATCGTCGAGTTGGCTCGCTTCTAAATGTACATTTTGCTTGGACAGATGCTCGCTAGGTGACCGCAGAACTGGGTTATCAAGGCTCATAAGCGCAGAGGCCTTGAATTTAGATGGACGACTGCGGCAGCGTGGAGTGCTAGCTAACTTGGCGGAGAGCACCACAAACAACGGCCGTAAGGTCGGCAGGCAGGAAGAAATAATTCCACTGGAACATTCAATCAGGCACCATATGCAAGCCTTTGCGAGAGTCCACGGTGCATCGACGGGCTGGAATCTGGAGAGCGTAGAGAAGCGGAAGGCGCTGGTAAATACCACCTTTTTTCACAAGATGGACGTCAGTGTAGTTCTCAATTCCCGATAAAGGCTTACATCCAATGTCTTGGCGATTGGATCACATTGGAAGACACTCACGCAGATGATCGCAATGACCCAACCGATGGGGATGCCATTGAGGATGATGGAGGCAATGCGGAAGTTCCGGGTGGGAAAGATTCGGGAATACATGAGCAAGATTGAGGCCTTGATGATGTCTATTGTGGTACCGTAAATGCACTCAAAGGGCATGAGCAGGATAGTCACGGTATTCTCAGTCGGTAGGGTGGCCGCATGTCGACCCATGCTATAGAAGATCACTAATAGGGATTAGCAGGGATGGATAGCGAACACCTTGACACCGAGTGTCTTATGGGCTAAATTGAGCCCACAGGATGCTAGAAGAAATATCTGTATTTGCGTAAGTCGGCTAAGCACTGCAGATCTACTGAAGCCAAACATACTGTAGATAAGAGGATGGCATAGTCGTCCGCCCCAATAGACAGACCCTTTTTCCACCGCGCCAGGAATCGCATGAACACAAAAAACATCCCCATGGAGGTCATAGCGATGGTCTGTGTCTTGTATTCCGCTTGTTGACGTGCACGGGGTTCTATTGTTGAGCCTGTGGCTGTCTTGTCCACATGCGCGTCCAAGCACATTAGGCTGAGCCTTCGTATAGCATGCCCTGTAGCTACAACAAGGGGAATGGACCCTAAAGAAGAATGATAATAGAGGACACAAACCTCAGAATGTATTTCGGCTTTGGTGGGACTTATTGTTAGCCATGAGAACCCGCTTAACGCTTGGCTCACTGATCGGCATATCTTCCAACATGTTTAATTATACCGGCACACTGCCCCACTCATTGACGACTCACCCAACCGCAGTACATATGACCAGCAATTTGAGTAGTGGTGTGGCCGAAAGACAATACACGACTATTTCCTAACCCATCAACTTCAGAGATATGCACATTTCCCTTTCTTAACAATATCAATCGAATATACGTTGTTTTGAGACGTTGATAGGAAGCCCGTGGCGATGAACTCGAGATAACCATCAAGGCTTGAGCGAGTACGTAATTCTATACCCTGCGTAATTCAGCAGACAAACCAGGAAGGAAAATATGTTTTTGACTCTGGCAACGTGCTTTTCGTTCCCTTTCTTTTCGTTTTCTTGGGGCGTGGGGAGGTGGTACTTCGAATGTCCCATCTGCCGATGGCTCGCCACTAGATCGTTAGACCGGAAGCTAGATGGTTAGTGCGATGGGAGTTGTGACTAATGGACTGCCTGCCTGTAGCCCCATACGGGATCCAGGGGCAGCATCACAAGATATTTCTACTCGGACTGAAGCACTGGGGAAGGTACATCCTACTGCCAACCAGCTCAGTGTCTCTCTTTCGACTACATCCCCCAGAATTCCGACCATTATCAGCTTGAAAGCCGCATATATACATGACCTAGGACTTGATGGCCACTTCCAACGTGAAACCAAAGTTTGTCTTCGTGCCTGGGGCATGGCACACTCCAGATACCTTCGACATTATCCGTGATGTGTTGGCCAAGCGGGGGTTCGAGTCAGAGGCTATTGCTAATCGATCTGTAGGAGCGGCTGATCCCTCGACCGGCCTACACGCAGATACTGCATATACCAAGAGTATTCTATCAAACTTAGCGGATCAGGGATGGCAGATAGTGATGGTAACTCACTCCTATGGTGGGATGGTTGGCGCCGGCGCGTGGAAGGTCTCAGTATCGTGGAACGGGTTCAGGCTGGCTTGCCTGGTGGTGTCGTTCAGATGGTCTGGATGGCTGCCTTTGTTGCCCCAATGGGCAAATCTGTCATCGATATGCTTGGAGGAGAGTGGCTCCCTTGGATGATACTAAAGGTGCATATACTGTGTTCTCGCTACTCTCATTTGTCCTGGATATCTTACAATAGGCTAACATTGGGTCTTATAACTAGGACCCCGACGATGGATATTGTTACTCCTCTCAGCAGGAGTGTGTCTTCTACCATGATCTGACGCCCCAAGCACAGCAGGATGCCATCTCCAAGCTGCAGCCGCACCCAAAGCCCTCATTTCTGGAGAAGGCCAAGTACGAGCCATGGCACAAGATGCCGTCGTTCTACCTCTTCTGTGACCATGACAAGGGTTTGCCACTACGCAGTCAAGAAGCCTTTTCCCAGACCTTAGGCACTCCAGGGACTTACCATGTGGAGGGATCACATTCGGCATTTATCAGCGTCCCACATCAGGTGGCGGATGGGCTAGAGCTTGCTTTGAAGGAGGGCCTTGAGAAGAGTGGTATTGTTACTCATTGAAATGTGCACTCCATGGCGGTATAGGTATTTCTTTCCAGATCCTGCAGTTTGATCTTTTTTGTTGACATGTTGCAAGGAGACTGTTGAATCTTTTGACCTGGGAAAGGTGAAGAGCGGCTGGGTTATATAAACAGGAGGCTGAATATCACGACTAGCACTGCGAATAGCGAGATCAAAATATAATAAGCCGAGCCATCCTCGCTATGTTGAGGAAAAGAAATTCGCTTGTGCCACAACTGCCCACGCTAGACACTACACTGACCGGCGTGTGATCTCAATCACTACCTCATATAATCTACTAGTCTCTGATGAATAAAACACCTAAGTATGCACGGTATGAAGCTCAACTACTGGATTCTTAGTTAGAATCCATGCATGCTACTGTGCTTTGAGATAGATAACGGCCTATTAACGTCATAGGCTATACAAGGTCTTGCTGGCGTTGAGGTGTATTTAAGGGCCTTACGACTCTATCGTGTCGCTTGCTGATCAAGTAGTCCATCCTACTTAAAAAATATACCTACAATTCACCTAGGAACTCTTTTTATGTCTAACCGCTTGAGAAAGGTTACCTTCCCCCAAAGCCCACGACTTTGCATCTTCAATTCATTAGTCCGTTATAATATATGTAGCCTGTTGATCTCAAACCAGTCAAATGACATTCTATTCATATAAACTCATCGAACAAGAGACGAGGAAGACAATTCAAACGAAAGTAAGGTCTAGTGTCTTGAAGCGAATCCCGCGACCGTTACTACCTGAAACTGAGGTCATTGTAGCGGAGAAATCTACTGATAAATCAAAGTGTGTTGGTGCCCGATTTTAAATAAAGACATTCTTTTGGGGGCTAAAATAGTGGGACTCTTTATGGATTCTGACTGCTGAGCAGGTGACACGCTCTATCTGCCAATTTTTGCCTCCTGATAATGGACTGAGTTGCACATCCGACTTTTAATCAGTGGGCGTCGTTAGTAGTCGCAGATCTTGTCCTCTTGTCTCACCTTCAGTTCGCTGATTCAAACCGTATCATAGTTGAATCAAATAGGTGGTTAGTTAATTGGGGAGTAATAACGCTGCTTCAGTCGTAGCCAATGTATACACATGGGGCTTCAAATCCACAAATTGTCGGGTGGTAGGGTGATGTTGCACTTCAGCATGGCCCTAGTTGATTGAATACACCACTTTGCCAGCCACTACTTAAGAGTCATTCACTTGGAACTGTCGGAAACATACGTACAAAGTCCTTCTCACATTAGGCCAAATAAATGGGATCCATAGCAGTGGCAGGTGGTAAGCCCAGAGGGCCACCAGTTGCCGTGCAATGCAGAGCAAGCCGCCATGAACACCAGTATAAAACTTTCATACTTTACCGAGGCTCGCACAGACAAAAAGCGACGGTCGCTCTATGCATGACTGTCTCGTCGTCAATAGGATGGGTAATAACTGATAAGCATGCTCTCTAGCGCAATTACCTTAAGCTGTGCACCCTGCCTTGGTGTTATTTCAGCAAACATAATGAGAAAGTGTGCATACTTGGTGTTTGGCTTTACGCTGATTTGCAATGCAACATTATTGTTGTATAACCGACGGTCTTGAAAAGGGTACTTTTATTAGTTTGCGTCACATCCACGCAACTCAGTACCCATGGACTTGTAAGTCTTATGGCGACTTCCAGAGTATCGCTCTTGGATATGAACCAGACGGGAATCCATGTTCATGTTCATATTCATCTCTACTCTTCGGATCAGCAGAAGAGGTCTAATCAATCTAGTCTTATAATACACGTCAAGAACGGAGGCGTAAGAGTGTGAGGCGAGGGCCAAAGACAAACTAGTCTATTCACGGCATAATTGCGACTGTATATGTAGGATTTCTTTCTTTGACGACGACAACCAGCGAGTATACAGATGTATGTACGTGAGAAAGTCGCGATTTGGAAATAGAGCTGATGATAGTCTGTATCTAGCTATTGATCAGGATCACGACCAGGCGTGTTTCTTTACAAAGTAGCCACGAATGCCAAGACAGCAACCAGAGCACCGAATACGGAACTCGAGACAGAGCTGGCACCACCCGTAGCAAGAACGGAAGTAGAGGCAGAAGACGAGCTACCAGAGTTAGTCGACTGAGAATCAGATGAGCTACCAGAGTTCGTCGACTTAGAGTCAGATGAGCTACCAGCGCTGGTGGAAGTAGAGGAACCGCTGGCGGTCTTGGTGAATTTAGGGTAGGCCGAGCCGGTGAAAGACGCGCTGGAGTAGTGGGCAGCAGCGGAGGAGTTGGACGGACGGAATCCCTTGCCGACTGTGAAGCCGGGTGTGGTAGAGGGAGTAGCACTGGTGACGATTCCGGAAGACGAAGGGTTCGCAGCGGCGATGGCAGAACCAGACGCAACAGCAGAGCCAGACGCAACAGCAGAGCCAGAAAGAATAGTGGAGCTAGCAGCGGAAGTGGATGGGCGAGTGCTGTTAGAGCAAGTCAAGTTGAACAACGGGGTGGTGCTCAGAGTGCTGCCCACAACACCGAAGCTGGGGTTTGGGGTGGTGGAGGAGCTGGCGTCCTGGAGGATGTACCACCAGGTGTTGGTCTCGTCGAACAAGGGGCATCCAACCTCATCCCAGAAGGTTTTCGCGTTGGCGAGGGAAGCGACGGCGAGATTCTGGGTGCTTCCGCTGACGGGCCATCCGGTCTCGGTGATCCAAACCTCCTTGCCCTTAGCGACCGCCTTGGTCTGAGCCACAGAGGAATCGAAGAGAGCCTTGGCGTCCGAGATGGAGTTAGACATGGAGCTCTGGTAGTAAGGGTAACCGTCAAAACCCAGCCAGTCGACGGCGTCGATAACGGCAGAATTGGAGCCGTTAGTCCAAGCGGTCCAGGTGTCGACATGGCCAATGGGGACGCTGCTCAGGGCGGTGCCAGAGATGATCGATCGGACCTCCTTGATATACGAGACCAGGGCCTCGGGGCCAACGCCAACACCGGCGTCGACTTTTTCCCCTTCCGAAGAGGCCCGGTAGAGATCCTCACTCCCAACGGAAATACCCACGACCAATTTGGCGAAGGAGTCGCCGTATTCGGAGATGGCCGCCTTGAGGGCGGCCAACTCGTTGTCCATACCACCACCCGAGGCCCAAAGACCCAGCAACAGGGAAGTGTTTTCAGCAATGGCAGCGGGAATGGCGGAAATGGGGGAGTTGGTCGTGCCACCTTGCTGCGTGACAGTCAGCACTTGGGTTCTGCTTCCTGCTTGATAATCAAGTCACTCACGATCATGGTGTACAATCTAGCACTGGTGAAGCCCGAAGTGCCGACAAGGCTTTTAGCGGTCGAGAACTCCGATCTGAAATCGGACTGAGATTTGACGCTGCCATCAGCCTTGGCAGCACCGTAGTTGAAGCCCTTGTAGGCGGCCTCGGACGTCGCGAGCGACAGGGCGAACGCAAGAAGGTGTGCCAATTGCATTTTGATGAGGAATTGAGTAAGGACTGTGGAATGGTTCGCAAGAAAGGAAAGTTACAGTAGGAGTACAAAGAAGGAACGAAGTTGAAGACAAACAAAAAAAATGGTTAAATGAGAGCTGTGGTGAAAAAGAGAGAAGGAGATGAGGATGACGATAAAAGAAAGAGGGAAAAGAAGAAGCAGATAAAAGATTGAGAAAACGATGGAGGCAACAATTGATGTGGTTCTAGACCAACTGTGGGTCATGATGGGTCTTTGCACGTTGAACTTGACTGGCTAGGCAGAGCTTGTCTGGGGACTACTGAAAGCCGATTGGATCTAAAGATAGAATTCTTACAGATTGGGCCCATCAGATCCACGGAATATCCTGAGTGGTGGGGTTGGCATGGCCAATCAGAATGCGGTTGCGCGATCTGGTTTCTCAGAAACACGTACGTACCTGCATAAATACCCCTGACCCTTGAGATTCCCCTCGTTGACTCGCCAATGGAAAGAGATTGGTATCGTCAACGTATGGATTGCTCTGTCAATTCCAACCGAGATATCCGCACAGTTCCAGGGCTGACTGCACGTCAACCATACGTTGGACCAACCAGAATTCTAATCTCGGGTAGGGATGCGGCACTAATCGGGTAATTGTCTGCTTTTCAATTGTTAGTGGGTTGGGCGCTGTTCTTAGGCGGACTCTCGGAGTCTATGTGGAAATAGTGCCATGTGGGATATTAGTGGATATTTCCTCTTTACTATTTATATATATGCTCAATTGGATTGCACAATTCCTTTTCTCCAAATAATATCAAAAGGGGTTCTCACTAGAACAGTAGTTCAGGGGAACGTATTTATAGATCGTTGAATAGATATCATATTGTCTGTCTCATATGGAAGTATAGTCGGAATACGATACTACGCCGTTGGTTAAATACAAAAATTAGCTGACCATAAACTAATCCTGCCGATCAACATGCACAGTCCGAATCCGCCCTTTCATATACTCTTCCATCTTCAATAACGGCGTTTCAACAATCACTCTACCATCCGTCAGAAACCAACTATCAGTGTCCTTCCGTGCCTTCAACGCGGAACACGCCCATTTACCAGCTCCCGCCAAGTTCCGATCATCAATCGACCTATGAATCGTCTCATTGGTGATCCCTGAGTCGATAGGCTTATAAGCCAGAGGTGTCCGTGTCGAAACACCGCCCAGAACGCCCTCCAGAGACCGTGTGAAACCCCACTGCTCCGTCTGACCCAACCTCGTCCCCCACGGTTCAATCTCATTTACCATCGGACACGGGGGCAAATTAAACAAATATCCCTCAATATCAAAACTCAACTGCTCGTCCTTCATACACTGCGCGATCATCCACGCCAGCGTAATATTCGATAGTCGAGGATCATCCCCCCCACCCCCAACATCCGTATGCACCCCCGAGAACCAAACCTGCAACAGTTCCTGTCCGTCGCTCTTCCTCGGCAGGTTCCATAGCGTCGGCTGATACGCCGTTCGCTCCTCATCGAGCGCCAACGCATGAAACGCATACCGAACATTCTCGGAGAGAATTGTATTCCGGAACTCCAGCTTCTCACCCATCCACCCCCCTAGCCATGTCTGGTGGAAGGCGACCGTGTCCCAAACCCCGATGATCTCCACCGTAAATCGGGGGAGTGGATCTCGGAATCCGAGTGATCGTCGCTGTTCGGGCGTATAATCGTCTGCTTTCTTTTGGTAGAAATCGTCGTACACGGTCGAGAAGTTGTCCATTCCTCGTCGCGTTAGGAGACCCCATTGGCAGACGAGACCTGCGACAGCGCGTGCCGTGTATGCCCCGCGTGAGAAGCCAAAGAAGTAGATCTTGTCACCTTCGTTGTAGTTGTCGACCAGGAAGCCGTATGCTGCGCGCACGTTGGCGCTTAGTCCCAATCCCGCTACGCCTGTAGAATGTAACTATCAGACTTGCTAATAAGAAACTGAGGTAGAACGTTTTCTCTTTTTTTTAAAAAAAAAAAAAAGGAACACCTTCGGGAAAGACGAAGGTAAAGGACTCAGACGTACCACCCCAGTATTTATCTCCCAAGCCAGTCCCTACACCCTTTTGATAGTAGACAATCTGGGGGATTTCTTCTTTCTGACCATGTCTCTCGACAATCGCATTGGCGCTTAAGGCTCGGCTGAACCGCGTCACGTTGGAAGCAGGCCGGCTCGAGTCTGCTGTTGAATCTTGCCAGGTTCCTGCAGAAGTAGACATCAATAACCATCTTCATATGATACAGTGGAGATCTACCATCACAGCAAATAATAAGCCGCTTCCGTGAGCAACGATTAATATCGGACATTTTACTATATACACTTCGTAGCTTTCTGTTGTGCTTGATGAGACGGGTTGAGAATTAGATCAGGGTTCACAGAAGTTAGATTGCACCGCAGTGGCTATTTATCTTTAAACTCAGATTCAGCTCTCTGTAATCTCATGATCAATAAGAGGGATCTAGATTCCGACAAAATTCTGCAGATGCCTGTGGTGATGGCATTGTCCTCTTCCGAATACGAAACTGTCATCGAATCATCATCATCATCAACCTCGGTCCACGGTACTCTAAGCGATAAATCGTATCATGATCCAATAAGGCGCGCTTGACGTGACTTGGATAGAATTCAATTTACAATTGAATTTAACACCCGTTTAAAGCATGATTAAGCTGACGTGAGGATGTGTTAACTGTAATGTCGTATGATAGCCGCTATAACTGCATAGTTTCTTGGTTTTGCAGCCACCCGCGTTTGATACGAGGGAAATAAGATTAAGGAAAAATACGCAGAGCGTTGGAATGGTCCTTTGTAAATAAGCAAAAGTAAGATCGGGGTTATGGTTAAAGTATATTCCAGACTTTTCTGTCGACAATTTGGTAGGTACAATATACGGAGTACCAACTTGGCTAGAATAGACCAGACGCTCAGCTGTACTTAAGCCACACACAGGGAGATTAGTAAATTGGATAGATAACTACTAGTGAATCTCTTCCAATATATATCTATGTTTACTATTTCTTTTTAACCTGTTAAGTTTAGTATCCTTGCTGGTTTATCTCTTGTCGATTTATTCTTCTCTTAGATCTGTCTAAATCTATTTAAACTTTATGTCTTGTATATTTTATCATATCCCTTTCGATCCGATATATTATATTTCTGTTTTTCTAAAAAAATATCTTCTTTAGTAGATAATCGATTATGTCTAATTTATTTAGAAATACCAATTTAATTTATTAAAATTGGTATAACTATAAGCAAGATACAAAAGTATATCTAAATGTCTCAATGCATATATATTCTATGTTGAATAGTCAAGAATGAGATCTAGAATAAATCTATACTTGATAAAAATATAGAAATATCTTTTGGTTTATTCTAGACAATCAGTATCAACCCTCAGATATCGCAGTATAGAGGCTAAAAGAGGTATCTCTATTAAATCTTATAGAAATATAGTAGCATGGATGTATGACATCGGGTCGACCGATGCTCCACGAGTGTAATCTGCCCCACTCCGCCCAGTAGTAGAGCTGTAGAGCTGAAAAACGTCGACTGGACGGCTAAATCCTTTGATGTTGATCGGCCCCGTCTCGTGTCCTCCCCGCGCTCGCCGACACGGGGGCACTGCCCCACGCTCCACGTCTTGGTGCTCAACACCGACAAATCCAAGGTCCTATAGCTAGGCATTTAAACCCTTCTCGCGTTCTACGACCTCGGGTCAAGACTCAGCTATCATCGGATCGCTATTCCTTACTCTCCCCTCATCCACGACAAAGCTATCCACATCACCACCCGGAACGTATCTCGGTGAAGCTCTGTTGATTGTGCAGCTTCCTCACATAATGGCTTCTCTTGCAACCAAAGCAATCCGAACCTCAGTATTCCAGAGATCCGCTGGCCTAACGGGACAATCTTATTCGCGCATGGTGACTACTTGTGCAACATCTTATACACTCAACACCGGTGCCAAGATCCCGGCCCTTGGATTTGGTACATTCCAAGACCCTGATTCCCAGGAGGAGACGGTGAGCCAGGCCTTGCAAAAGGGCATGCGCTTGATTGATACAGCCCGGGTGTACAACGTTGAAGAACAAGTCGGGAAGGGAATCAAGAAGAGTGGTATTCCTCGCGAAGAGATCTTTCTCGGCACAAAGTTGTGGTGCAATGATTACCACCCCGACGACGTGGAGCGTGCGTTGGATGATTCTCTGCGAGACTTGGATACCCCTTACGTTGATCTTTTGTTGATGCACTACCCGTGCACCTTTAAGCGTGGACCCGACCGATTCCCTCGAGATGCCGATGGTAGAATGATTCCAGGTGACACCACCTTTGTGGATACCTGGAGAGCGATGGAAAAGTTGACGGGGACTGGCAAGGTCAAAGCCATTGGCGTCTCAAATTTCTGTCAAAGTGAAATTGAGGCCTTGATCAACGAGACTTCGACAGTCGGTACTTCTATATAGTCACAGAAGATGAGATGCTAATCAAATATTCAGGTCCCGGCCGTTCATCAAATGGAGGTCCATCCATATTTACAGCAGAAAGGATTTAACGAATGGCTACAGTCGAAAGGAATACATGTTGTCCAGTTTAGCCCCCTAGGCAATATGAATGATTTCTACCGACAGACTGGATGGTCCAAGGAGATTGCGCACATGATGCGGGTGATCGACCAGCCAGTGTTAAAGGACATTGGTAAGAAGTATGGCAAGAGTCCTGTGCAGGTGGTGCTTGCATGGGGGATTAACAGCAGCCGTTCTGTTATCCCCAAAAGTGTTGTCGATTGGCAGATTGACGAGAACTTGGCAGCTGATTTCGAATTGGAGTCTGAGGACATGGCGCAGATTGCGACCCTGGACGCGAAGGCTCGTTTCAATGATCCTAGCTTAGACTATGAGTGGCGTTTGTATAGCGACTTGGAAGGCATTGATGGCACTGTCAGAGGAAGGACTCATTAGATGATGTCTAAAACTCGTCGGGAAATATGTAGAGGTTTGAACGTCCTTTCAGCTTCCTATCTACGTCCTTGGGTCAACCATATAAATAGAATTGTATAGAATAACGAGCCAGCCGATGGAACAGTATGCATTGAAACATTACGTGCGTTGTTTTGCTTTCTCGGCACGAGTACCAATTGAAATCAAATCACGTTGGCTTGTCAAAGTTCAATGGATGGGAGAATCCAGGAAGCCAAACCACCAGCCTTGTCTGCATTCTTTGTAGTTTCTGCTTTCAATTGCAAGTGCAAGAGAGGATCATGTGGAACGATAGCCTATTTCTACTGCCTCAGTGGTCAGTTTGCCAGGCTGCGAGATACTGAGGGTTCGTGTACGGCTATAGATACCGTCGAGTCGCCAACACCGTATACTTAAGGAATAGGGCATTAGCCAGCTGCATCGCATCTTTGGGATCGCTGTCTTTTTGATTCTCTGGAGTGAAATTTGACTTCATTCATTCGCCATGCTGCCCTCAATGTTATGGTATCTTTAATAGGTCGAAAGCCTTTCTTCTAACACTTCGGGTAACCACTTTACTCACTGTTGGAGGAAATGTAGAGGGAAGCTATATTGCGGACTGGATATTCTATATCTGGTCTATGTCTATATTCCATTGATTAAGGGAGAGTGAATCCACCATCAACCACGAGGTTCGAACCTGTCATATAGCTGGATGCATCCGAGGCGCAGAAAAGATAGACCTAGAATTATCCACATCAGAACAAACTTCGTCTCGAAACTTTTGCGGTGGTTTCTTACCCCCTTCAGTTCATATGGAGAAGCGAATCGACGGGCTGGAATTTGACTCTTCCACTTTTCAAGCATATCCTTGGACGCATACTCCATGATCTTGGTCTCGACATACCCTGGCGAAACACAGTTCACTCGGCAGAAGTCTACCCATTCCACTGCGAGGGACTTGGTCAACTGCAAGACTCCAGCCTTTGACACATTATACTGTAAACAACATGACAAATGTTAGTCTAAAACCGCATACAGGTGTAATAAAGTAGACGAAGGAAGGGACTTACCGCGGCCTGCCGTTGGGGTGTGTTCACAAGTGTGGCGCTGACAGAAGCCGTGAATACTATATTGCCGAATCCCTGTCGCTTAAACACCCTTGCAGCAGCCTGCGCAGTATAGAATGCCCCATTGACGTTGACGTTCATGATCTCCTCGAACTCAGCAGGGCTGTAATCCTCAGCGGCATGCTCAGAGCAGATGCCCGCATTAGCCACGATTACATCCAGCCTGCCGAAGTCCATCACGATCTGATCGATAACTGTGGAAATCTCCTTCGGAACCGTGACGTCGGCCTGGTAAGCACGAGCTTGTGTCTGATATTTAGAGGCGATCTCCTCTGTGGTCTTATGTGCGGTTGTGGTTGTGCGATACAGAATGGCAATCTGTCCAACGTATGAGCGTATTTTCTAGGTATAGATAGGAGAGCATCGTATACCACATACCTTGGCGCCAGCCTCAGCATATGCTGTAGCTACGGAAAGACCAATTCCTCGAGCCCCCCCTGGTGATATGTCAGTCAAATAATCTCGAAATGTCGTATTACGCCTACCGGTGACAGCTACAACTTTGCCAGTTAGGCCAAAAAGCTTCTGCACAGGGGCATCACTGGGCTTGGAGAGAACCATTTTGACAGTTTGCCGGAGCTCTAGTGGCTTAAGCGTGGAATATCTGGAATTAACCGTGCAATATATTTATATCCCATGGTCAACTTCATCATCCATGTTCTTGTAGCCCATATACTGGGGTCAACAGTTTGCTGCGAGATTCAACGTTCATAGTGTGCCGCTCGTCGTAGCTTTACCGCCACCGTCTCGGGTATGTGCGCCGTCTCGAGGATTGCCCGCCGTCCCGGGGGAAGAAAACAACCACGGCCATTGCATGTACAACTCTCCGCATATCGTATCCGGGGTATCCCCAGTTTTCTTTTGGGTGGTGTGGGGGGAAATGAAACAGGAGACGGATGTTACATAACGCAGCCAGGTAATGTTGGAAGGGGCATAGTGTGACATTATATTTATGGGGAAGCCCACGACATTTGATACACGCACGCAGGAAGGCATTGCCCGTTGCAATCTGTCCTTCAACATTCTTTTCTGACTGCAAGTTCCATACAGAACTACTTTCTTCCCAGGTTGTATCACGTTCGTTATGTTTAGTGACGAGCGAGCGAGGTGGAAAATCACCTCCAGGCTAGAAAGAAAGCCGTTGTTGATATCGGTCAACTGCCTCGCTGGTCTTGCAATCTTCTTCTTCGGTGATTCGACTCTATCCTACATTCTCCGCAATTCCATACCTATAGGATTGACTTGTGCTAATGTGCCATACAGGCTATGACCAAGGTATGATGGGTGGAGTCAATGACTCCCAGGCGTACGTGCACCGGATGGGATTGGGATACAAGGTAAATGGGTCAATCACTATAACCAACACTTTGCTGCAGGGAGGCATCGTTTCTGTCTACTACCTGGGAACATTGATTGGATGCTTTGTGGGTGGTTATGTCAGTGACCGATTTGGTCGAATTAAGTCCATTGCTGTCGGTGCCGCCTGGGGGATAATTGGGGCCGCACTCCAGTGCACTGCAATGAACCCAACGTGGATGATAGTGTCTCGTCTGATAAACGGTATCGGCACTGGTATTCTCAACGCTACTGTTCCCGTATATGGCTCCGAGTTGGCCGACTACGAGAGTCGTGGCATGTTCATCGCCATGGAGTTCACATTGAACATTGTCGGGGTCGTGGTCGCCTACTGGCTGGGCTATGGACTGAGCTACATCGATAATGGCACCTCCGAGATCCAATGGCGATTCCCTATTGCATTCCAGATTGTCATGCTACTTCTGCTCTTGATCGGATGTTGGTTCTTCCCAGAATCTCCTCGTTGGCTATGCATGATGGGTTATCGAGAGGAAGCCCTCTACATCCTCAAGCGTCTTCGGAGATCTGAGAACGACCATGCAGCCTTACAAGAGATGCGAGAGATAGAGGCTATCGTCGAGTTAGAGAAACACTCAGAGGGAAGAATGACCTACTTCCACATGTTGTTTGGTATTGGTGACGGCGAGTTGCATATTGCAAGGCGTGTCCAGCTGGTAATCTGGCTGCAAATTCTGCAAAGCTGGACGGGCATCGCCGGTGTTACTATGTATGCACCAAGTACGCTGCATCTCCGTCTCTCTGATGTATATCCATCTTCTAATGTCCTCCCAGCAATCTTTAAAATTGCCGGCTTCGATTCCCAGAAGACAATGTGGATTTCCGGACTGAACAATATCTTCTATGCTTTCGCAACCATAATTTGTGTCTTCACCATCGATCGCTTCGGTCGCCGCTGGACCCTTTGGTGGGGAGCTGCAGGTCAAGCAATTGCCATGTTCACTGCAGGAGGCCTCGCTCGTGGTGGGTTAGATCACCCCAACGACCAGGGGCCATGGGGTATTGGGGCAACCGCCATGGTCTATCTCTATACCTTTGTCTTCGGTGCTACCTGGCTCACTGTTCCGTGGTTGTATCCTGCAGAGATCTTCCCGCTCAAGGTGCGAGCCAAGGGCAGTGCTTGGGGGGTTGTTGGCTGGAGTTTGGGCAACGGGTGTGTTATTCAAGCCCTCAGCATTGGCGACTTATGCCGGGATGCTAATATATATCAGCTCGCTGACGTTGGCCCTTCCCTACATTTTTGGCTCGATCGGTGAGAATACGCTGCATGTATTTGGTGCGGTCAATCTGATCAGCATCCCGGTCGGTGAGTATTCTCGGACAATCCTAGTCTCTGTCCCTGGCTCAACTAACCAGCAAAGTATGGGCTCTCTACCCGGAGTCTAGCCGACGTACACTCGAGGAAATCGATTTGCTTTTTGCAGCCAAGTCTCCCTGGGCTTGGACCGCAGAGTCGAACTTTGCGACGCTCATTGCTGAGAACCCTGATCTCGGTGCCGCTCGGCAACGCAATAGTGTTATCGAGGTTGAGAAAGGACTGGACGCGGATGCTGAGCATTGCGAAACAGTTGCTAGACCGTAGGTCATGAGTTCTCCTGAGCCAGTTGGTTTATATAACGACACGGGATGTTTTTCTTCGTTTGCACTCTTGGACAGACACATCCCCGACCTCTAGCAAGCCAGGACTGTGAACATAAAATACATTATGCAATGTAAGCTACGGTAGTCTGCTTTGGTATTCGAAAATATATGTTGAGGTGGAGAGCTTTCCGCAAATATGACAACGTCCAACGACAGTGCGTGAAATGCAACGAACAGGAAATGAATCGCTCTGTTGAAGCATTAGGGAATACTGCCTTGGTTGTGGCTATTTCTAAACAGTCCTGACATGAGGATCAAATATAGACAGTGTAAGAAGTAACATGAACTGCGCAACTACACCCGAGAACATGCCTGGGGCGCCCATAGATATGATTGCGTCCTCCATGCTACTGTGCCATGGAGAGAAACACTTGGTCGCTGACAGAGATCATCGCCTATTGGTTTATTGTCTTCTAGGTGCGCAAGTTGGGCGTGTGTTTCTTCTTCAGTAGCTAACAGAGAAAAACAAGAGGCAATGTTATAGGAAGGATATACAAGCAAGGGCCTTGGTCTATGTATCAACACGTTGAGATTTTCTATGGTATTAAGACAACTAGACCATTTCACCAGGAACAATTGTAGCCTATGCCACCATATTTTGAGATGGAACGTTTAGCAAACTGTCAAAGTCAGTGATTGTAGGCCATTATGCGAGATATCTGACAGCACTTACTGCCAATCACACCATTCACTGGGATGTCAATGGAAGTAGTGTAGCTCGCGGCGTCGCTTAGCAGATATACATAGGCACCGCCGAGCTCCTGCACCTCAGCCAGCCGAGGGAAACCGCCGTAGTACTTGAGTTGTTGCTCCCAGTCTGGTTGTTGGGGCACCCAGTATGTCATGGCGGTGTTGACCAGACCGGGGGATACACTGTTCACGCGGATGCCGTATTGTGCCCATTCCATTGCCAACGTGTGAGTCATGTTCCGGACACCAGCCTTTGAGGCACCGTACGGGGTGGAGGGAACGCGCTGGGAGGGAGTCAGTGATCAGAGCAATATATCAAGATAGTTAAGATTATACCTTATTGGGGCGGTAGGAAGCCATGGATGCCGTGAAGACAACCGATCCCTTGATTCCAAGCTTGATAAAAGCACGGGCCGCGGCGCGTGCGGTGTAAAAGGCGCCGAAGAGATTCACATTGAAGAGATTCTCAATCTCCTCCTTAGTAAAGTCTAGCGCCGCCTTGTGGTGGGTACGTCCAGCATTCACTACCATTCCATGTAAAGCGCCGGCCTGCTCGATAATCGCATCCACTGCCGCCGTGACAGTTGATTCCTCGGTCACATTGGCATTGACCGCGAAGAGTTGGCCGGGGTAGCGCTTAGATACTGCGGCAAAGTCCTCTTCCGTCTCACCAATGTCGATAGAGTACACCTTGGCGGCACCGTTGGAGAGGCAACATTCAGCGATACCCAGACCGATGCCGCGGTTGGCACCAGTAACTATGCAGGTGCCACATTAGCTGGTAGTCTTATATGTGTGTATCACATGAAGCACACATCCCGCGTACGTACTTGCGATGATCTTTCCACCAAGGGTGACCTGGGTCTGAGGGGTGGCAGTCGCCTGGGGCATAGCCACGTCTTGGGAGACAGCGCTGGGGGCCATTGTCAATGATGGTGCGAAAGAAGCCGAGAAGAGTGATTAGCTGGATCGATACACAAGACGATGAGCACTACTTTATACACCGCAGAAATTCCCCGCCCTCTGCCCTGCTCTCCTCCGTCTGCCCCTTCTCGGAGCACAGATAAAAAAAAAAAAACACCAAAGTAGAAAATGAATCCTACCGCGTTGCCGTCGCACATCTCGTCTCGGTGGTTGCTCGAGACGGCGATGTGGTTTGGAGAAACGCGGGGTGGTGTTCCCGAGACGGTGCCAATGGATGATCCACTCAGTCGTGCCCTGTGCACTGAAGACTCGGTCAATCTCCGACCGGTGCAATGCGACGCCGAGCAAGTCAAGGGCTAGTGGTTGCTTCCGAGTTCAAAAAGATGGCGGGCAATCCGGGGAGAGCTGGAGCACAGGTTCACCCGCCATTCCCCTCATCACACACAAGATTTCCCATCTTATCATCCTCGCAAGTCGCCCTCGTCGTCGCTCCAGCGTGATTGATTGGAAATGGCAGCTCTCCCCGCCTGGAATCTGCTCAAAGGCAAGACCGCCGCCATCACCGGGGGGACCACTGGCATCGGTCGCGCGATCGTGTTGGCCTACATCACGCAGGGATGCAATGTTGCAGTGAACCACTTGGGACGTCCCCAGGATGAAGAGCGTCGCCATAGCCTTCTCCAGGAGGTGGAGGCCATCAAACAGAACGGGGTCGAGGCGGGCAGTATCCTGGAGCTGCCCGGCGACGTGACGGACCCGGAGACCAGCACCAAGCTGATCAAAGAGGCCGTGTCTCAATGGGGCCAGTTGGACATCTTTGTTGCCAATGCGGGTGTGTTTAAGCAGGCGGAATTCCTCGGGTGAGTGAAGAACACACCAAGGGATCAAGCGCGTGTCGGTTGCTTCCCACGGCGCAGAGAGCCACATGCGCTAACATGCCTAGAATTGAGCCATCCCTCCTCGACCACAGCGTCGACGTCAACATCAAGGGTTGCTTCTATTCCTGCCAAGCAGCCGCCCGCCAGATGGTGAAGCAAGGGCACGGCGGTTCGATTATTGGCATTTCCTCTGTCAGCGCCCTGCTCGGCGGTGGCTTCCAGACCCATTACACTCCCACCAAAGCCGCCATCCTCTCCATGATGCAGTCGATGGCAATTGCTCTTGGGAAAGATAGGATCCGTTGTAATGCACTGATGCCCGGCACCATTGCCACCCAGTTGGCTGATCACGATATGAAGAACCCTGCTAAGAAGGCCGCTCTCGAGGCGCGCATTCCTCTTGGTCGCATCGGTGATCCCGAGGATATGGCGGGCCCAGCAGTCTTTCTGGCTTGCGAGGAGATGAGCCGCTACGTGAACGCTACGGGAGTACTGGCAGATGGTGGAATGTACAGCAACTTACAGTAGAGAGGTGTATGTTAGGTTTGCCTGTTCGCGGATTGCATAGCCGTAAGGGCTTAGGGCATAGTCAAGAACTTTTTAATTTTCTGTGGATTCCCTACATCGGCCATAAACTGATTGAGAATCTCCCTCGCCAGAGAGAACTCGTACGATAAGACTTTGACATTTCCTTCCGAACGCCGAAGACGAGGCGATAACTCAGTCGGGCTAGATCTCCGAAGACCATAGGCTATGAGGTAGAAGACAAAAAACAACCCGTGGTACACTGGCTAAGAAATCACCAACGTCCAGTGTGGAATCACTGTAAGCAGAATTGAAGCATTCGTATTTTATGGCTATGTACAACGTGAAACCGTTCATGCCTTGCCCGCAGACCCACAGATCTCCATCCATTGGACGGTCAGATCCGCCACTTTCTGAATACCTTCCTCGATAAGCTGGGTGTGCGGGATCTTGCCCACGTTCGCCCGGAGATGGCCGTAGTAGTCATCCAACACAAGTCGGTTTACGTTGATCTTGGTGACGCCAGCGCCCACGCAACGCTTCATCAGCTCCGGGGCAAATCCGTTGGTGCCGTGCAGGGCCAAGTGAACTCTACCATTGGCCCGAAGGCGAACCTTTTCAAACCTAGCCATGTCGCGATTAGCAAACTGGTCTCTCATAGATCTCAGACAACGCTGCCTCACATCTCGAAGTCCAGGTGTGGGCCCTGTGAGCCATATTCGCCGTGGACATTGCCAAACGCAGGGGCAAGCACATCCACACCCGTGTTAACGAACTCATCCACTTCCTCGGCGGTCGTCATGCAGGCTTCTAACCCCGCCGTGTCCATCACTCCGTCCTCTCCTCCTTCGATCCGACCCGGCTCGGCCTCGGTGGCCTTCTTGCGGTCGTTGCAATATTTCACCAGCTCACGGGTCATCTTCAAGTTCACCTCCTTCTCGTAGTGCGACATGTCGACCATAATACTATCGAACGGTAGCTCTGCGGCGCGCTTGATGATGGTTTCTGACTGGGCATGGTCGAGATGAATACTGATGGGCACGCTTGCGCCTTTGGCGGCGTCCGCAGCTGCACGCACCAGTAAGCCATCTGTAGCCTCAATCGCCCACGGGAAGAATTGGATAATCAGGGGTGAGCGGGCAGTCTCAGCAGCCCGGACCAAACCCAAAACTTGTTCAATGTTGTAGGCAATGGCAGCAATGATACCGTAACGACCAGCTTCGGCGTCACGCAGAATGCGTGTATGACAGTTCGATTCTTTCCAGGACATTTTGGGCAAAGGAGATGATTTCACAGTGTCCAAAGCAACGTGTAGAGCAGACTGGCTGTGTAGTAGCAGTATCTATGGCTCGTATTTAACCCTAGTGAGCTGCCGCAGTGAACGTTGCAAGACGAGGCGACCCCGAGACGGGCACAAGAGCTGCCCCACCATGGCAGTGATAACAAGGATCTAACGCTGGGCAAATTAGCAACGATTTGTATGGGCTCTGCTGCAGGACTACTTTCTGTTAGTAGCCGTTGCGACACTTAACAGCCCTCAGTTGCGCCTCTGGGGAGCAGCATCGATCGCACAGCTCCCTCTCGGCACGTCAAGCCTCAAGACACAATGTCCCCAACCTCTGATCTCCATTTCCAGGTCCATGACCAGCGTTTTGCAACAATCATCGGTGAAACCCCGATCATAGAACTGGTAGCAGAGAATCTAGACTACCCATTCGCTCACGAGGCTGGCGTCTTTTTCCCTGGCACCCATACCCTCTTCTGTACCAGCAACCGGTGTGTTGGTTCGGACGGACAGCAAAAGGTACACATTACCCGCGTGGACCTCAGCGAGACACCAGCTATGTGCGAGGATATTCGTGCAGACATTCCTATGGCCAATGGTGGTATTAACTACGGCAAGGATCATATCCTCTTCTGTGCCCAGGGGTCCATGACTGAGAGAAGCGGCTTCTACTGTATGTCTATAACTGCGCCGTACAGGACGGAACTTTTAAAGGGAGACTTTTTCGGTCGACCGTTTAATTCTGTCAATGACGTGGTGGTACACTCGGATGGATCGATCTGGTTTACTGATCCCATCTACGGCGCTGAACAGGGCTATCGGCCTCAACCATGCCTACCTAACCAGGTGTACCGATGGTGTCCAGACACTGGTAGTATCCGAGCGATGGCCGATGGGTTGGGGAAACCAAATGGCATCTGCTTCTCACCAGACGAGAGGGTTGTTTATATTACCGACACCGATCGAGTTCAGGGTGATGGGACTGTCTATGATCACCGCGTGTCTTCAATGTACGGATAGAGCACCCCCAAAGATAGAATCATCCCTTAAGCCACGATGGCTGATCTTACATATCAACCCAGTTACGCCTTTGATGTATCGACCTATTATGGAGAGCCGTTTCTCACCAACCGGCGACTCTTCGCTATGGCAGACCAGGGATCCCAGACGGCATTAAATGTGACCGAGGGGGGAATGTGTACAGTGGCTATGGGGACGGGATTCATGTGTGGTCCCCGGGGGGGATTCTCTTGGGCCGGATTTTGATTGAGGGTGGTGTGGCCAACTTTTGTTTTGGCCGCCATGGGGAGATTTTGGCGCTGAACGAGCACCGAATGTGGAGAGTAAAATTAGGAGCCAGTGTGAAGGGAGCTTTGCTCGGATGAGAACGCTTTTCATAACATAACACCGTATATAGAAGAGAAGCATTGTCGGCCCCAGCACGTCAATTCATTGCTGTGAGGACCTCGACCGCACAAACGAGGTCACAGTAGCTGCTGCTTCTCGGGACTCGTGGCTTTCCCACAGCTGCTGTAGTTCAGCCCCTAACGATCGAACTGGCCAGCCAGATCGCTCCCGACAGGATTCTAGCAATTCCAAGATAGCCTCCCGGGCACCAGGCTCTTGAGCAAACATTCCCGCTGTCGCTCGGTCAACCTGGCTTCACAGATAGATAGATGGCACGGAAGGAACATACCAATGAATAGTGCTTGTGATGACATCAGGCTAGAGGGATTATCTTTCAACATCATCGCAACGCCACAGATATCCTTCAGGCAGCACTGGATGCGGGCCTGCCGCTCGAGATACCGTTCCAATCCTCCCAGGCTCGGCTCGTGAGCCAGTAAAAGAATTCGGGACACACGATTAAATTGGACAGCCACGGCTAAAGGGTCGTGTCAGTCTATCTTCCTTGAATCACAGAATCGAGCTGGTGTCGCATCCATACCAAATGCAGGTGGGCGGATCCAGATTGGTCGAAAATAAGTCGAATGTTCGCGTGAGCCAAGCGGTAAGGGAGAGAACTCTAGAGTCAGATGTCGTTGCCAGTCGTCCATCATCTTGTGAAGGCAAAGTGCCCCATCAACCCGTTGCTGGATGTCTTCTTCGGTGGTGACGTCAGCGCAGTAGCTAATTACCTTCGCAGTAATATAAATTGAACGCGTAGCGAGCTCCTGTGGTGATATTTCAGACAGGGGTTTCTGGGGGACCCAGAAGGTAAGAGTCTTGCGTTTTTCGCGAAAGGCAGCCCAGGTGTCCTGGCAGAGCCATGCCCACCACACCGCCGAATGTAGTCCACCAGACTCTCCGTGGATGGTCTGAGACCGTTGGATCAAGAAGACTCCTTCGAGGTGGCGCTCCCAGTCATTGGAGGAGTTGTCGAGCATCTCGTAGGCAGAAATAATCAGGGCAGTTGCAAGCAGCTCGGGGCTTGTCTTGTAGTGAGAATATTGCATAGCCCTTTGCACGTAGTGAAGGGTTTGGTAGTAATATTGGAGAGCCGCTTCCTCCTTACTTGGCATTTGATGGTTATCCAGACGGGTATTCAAGGCCAGATGTCGAAAGGCAAGGGCCAGTATAGCATTCATAAGCCCGGCATTATGTACCTGAGGTTGTCCAATCAGTCTTTCGGGGAAGGAACGTTGTTCAAAAAATGAAGATATACTGACAGCCGAGTGAGCAACGAATGTCGAGAACTGGTTAGTGAAATCAAACAGATCGATCTGCAAAGGAACAAGATGAGCCCAGCATGTCCAAGTCACAAACTTGGCCGTGATGACCTACCCAAGGGCTCACATGATTCACGAAATGTTCGAACAACGTCTGCTCAACCGCCAGAAGCTCGATTGGCTCCCGCGATTGCCATATGTGCTCCTCTCCGAATCTCCTACCTTCCGAAATACTGATAGAGTGGCCATCCAATACCTGGGTCGCTGATTGCAGTGAACTCAGCTGATTTACACCATTCTCATCAGAGACGCCCAGCGAGAGGCTTGGCGTCGCCCGGGAGTTGAGAATGGTCGACGATTGCAAGCTTCCCTTAGCGGCATCACTGGCTAGTAGCCCAAACCACTGCACTGCGGCAAAGGATGCATTAGAAGGGGACAGATAGCTAGGATGCAGCTCTACAGGCGTCCGGCTCGAAGCTGGGCAACTCCCCTGCGGATGATCAAGTAGGACAGATCGATCAGGGCCAGCGCCCGCCTCGGGAATGGTCCAGGCGAAGTCAGTGACGTTAGGGGTCTCATAAGCCGATGAGGTTACATCAGCACCAGTTGATGCGTGATCGCCAATGGCCTCTGGAGGCGTAGATTGCTGGGCAGTTGGAGGCACAGCTTCCACAATGGCCCGGTCCAAGGCCGGACTGTTGATGCTAGAGCGGCCCGGGCTAGCATATTCACAGAGCTTGTCATTTTTGGCACAAGGGCCACAGACTGGCTTGACCTCATCACACTTCAGGTGTCGTTTCCGACATGTTTTGCTGTATTGTCAAGTCAAGTCAAACACGACACGCAAGGGACGCAAGGGACTCACCAGCCATTTGTCGTCCTCAGGCCCCGCCCGCGGGACTTTCGTACGCGAGGCCGTCTGTAGGGCGATCGCGAACGCATCGTTGGGGTGGCCTGAGACCATTCGTAGTCGAGGTTGAAGTGATCAAGATCCGATTGCATTGTAGCTCGAGTGATGTCCCCGTCTCGGGGGCGCCAGAGCATCAAAGAACGAATCTCTGCTTGGCCGGGATCACGTAAGCTCTCCACATGTCCGATCCCTCCAGTTAACCGAACACATTCAGCCACGCGATTGCGGGACGCCATACGAATAACTGCTTAAGTACATTGATTTACACGGGGGGGCAGGTAGAAAACACAATCATGGTGAAGGGAGGCTAATTATGACCCGGCTTGCCCTGTCACTTTCCCCTATTCCTTCCAACTAGCTACTTGGACTGTTTCACATACCTCCTACCATAATATATATAACCACAGTTTGTCGAAAGGTACTGTTTTCACTCAACGATTTCTAGGCGACTAACGTTATTCTAATTTCCATGGATTAGATGCAATATAACTCGAGATATTTTGATATGATCAGGGTTTGGGAAGGAGATTGGTAGATCAATGTTACCCATTAAGGCAGTCTAGCGAGGCAGTCGAGCGAGGTAGAATAGAAGTCGGGAGTTAACCTCCTCACCAGGATCGGCTCCGGATCCATGTCCGGTTGCACGGGTTCTCCAAAGTGCTGCTTCCTATCCGGTCATGCTATTGATGGTTTCTATCGTATCTGTGGAAGACCACCCAAAAGACTGATGCCACAGCAATCATTGTCGCTGCCAATCCCGTGTAGAGATATAGGATCCAAAGATCCTTGGACAGTGGAGACACAGCCATGCCGAGGGCAGAGCCTATACCCGAGTTCACCTGTACCAACGATTGTACCAAAGTCCGCATATTTGTTGGCGCTTCAGAATAGCTGTACTCAGCTAGTGTGGTGAATTCCAGAATCTCAGCCAGCCCCAAGAAGAAGAAAATCGGTATCTGCACCCAAGCACTGATATCATTCCCTACTGTGCCACCATCAGCAGCTCCACAGGCAAGAGGTTCATCGTAACAGGGACCTCGGGAATAAATCGATGTCTGGACTCCAGCGGCAAAGGCCATTGATCCGCTCATTGCAATGAATGCTCGGGTCATCCGTGCAATAGGTCCAAATCGGATCCTGGCCTGTCGAAGCCCTGGATACAGATATCGCTGGAGTAATGGACCCAGTATTACACAAAAGACAGGATTAATAGCCTTAATGGCATTATTTGGGACCCCATCCAGACGCATCTCGCCAGCTTGGGTGATCAAGTTATTCACACTCTGATTGTTGCATAGGTGGTATGGTATAAAACATGCCCTTCGTTCCCGAGTGAGTGAAGGATTATACGACTGTGGGAATAGGGCAGACGAACATGACTTTACAAGCCCTAAGACCCCGTCTGATCTCGAACACAAATAAATCATCCCAGTCGACTTCCCGGTGGTATTTCTCGGCTTGGTAGCTTGGTTTGGCTGCATCCAGCCTGAAACGGTCCCGAGCTGAGAACCATATGACTTTTGCAAATTGTGGAATAACAGTCCCTTGTGGCGGGAGCTTCACTGTTCATCAAAATTAGTGTTGTTCATGAGTAGCGATGTTGAAGAATCATTAAGTACCGAATGGCTTATACCACAGAACTAACAAAGGTACCACGACAGCGAATGCACAAAGCGGCATAAGATACGCTGCCAAGTATCCTATTTTCTTCTCTAGATATGTTGAAGCAATGAGAGACAGTGTAGCAATACTTGTGAACCTGAGAAAGTATACAAGGTTTAATGGATGCGTGTATACGGAGAATCCATCATCATACCAATAGAAAATATTATAAACGTACTGCATTGTAAGCATTCGGTCCGTCACAACTCGCTCACCCTTTTTTGTGATTTGTAGTTGTGGGGATACATTTGGATATTGATCCCCTGTTCAAGTCATATAGCAAATTAATACTTCCTCTTTGAGCAACTGTTCTTTGAAGGAAAGCTCATCGATGAAGGGTGTGATGGTAGCCTTGACGCCTCATGTCCCGAGTCCGATTAGGATTATCGCGAGTATAAATCCGACTAGCTTGACTGAACTGTTTGTTGTGGCTGGAAGAGATGTCACAAAAAGGATCAAGCATCGGCAGAAGTCAAGCCCTGGACATATTCCCTTACAGACTACCCAGGATAGTGGTTACAAATAAAGCCAGGCATGTGGTGACCCATTTTCGTCCAGATAGTAGTCCCGAAAAATGGAACGGCTTTGGGGAGTGGGCTCGTTGCGCCGATGGGCCTGGTGAAGGTAAAGATATCTATCCACTTGAACTCCTACGTTACTCGAAGATTTGCTAATAAATCCTAGACAGCGAGACAGACAGTCGGCAAGCTGCTGTTCTGTGGAAGTGTTCAGGGACAGATGGCAGCATCCCCAGCAAAGGGTGCTGGTATTTGCAATATTTGACCACCGCCTCTACAGATGTCAACTCGGCAAGCCCTACGACAAGCATTGGTGCGTGATAGCCAGCTGGAAGAAATATGTCTTAACCAAATGAGCACGGCAGTCTTACTGAAGCTTCTTGGGCCATTCTTGAAATGAAGCAAGATGCACCCGATCAACATGGAATGACTGGTGTATCCAGTATTCGCTGTCTAGAAAGGATCAGCCAACAGAGCTTCTGACTCATTTCGCCGTAGGATGTCGATACAACAATTTACATATGAATCAAGCTTACTGTGAATGTCTGTGTCTACATTCATCCCCCTCGTTCATACCTCACCGGGATGAACTACGGCAAACTTGTACTAGCGATCAGCCGAGAAGACTTGTCAACTGTCCACAAGAAAGGCGGAGCTTCTCCCGGTGTGAAACCACTTAGTGGCGACACCGGACGGATTATGAGACTAGGCGTTGTCTCTCTACAGTGTGTGTTCATGACAGCCTGCTTGTACATGTCGTACCTAGGTTTCAAAATTGACCGAAATGAAGTCATTGTAGATAACCGTCCGATAATAGCCACCGAGTCATCCGCCCGAGTCCCCACAAATATACTAGTGGTAGAATCCCACCTGGGGTGTGCAGCGCGGACACGATGGTGAGATGTGTGTGGGTGGGTCAATACTTGGTCCACCTGTGTCTGGCTGCATTGGAATGGACTAATCTCGCTTGCTAATCCGAGGGAAAATGGCTTCCGTAGGTCTTTCCCTCCTGTGTCCTGCCATAAATACTGCTTAAGAGCGTTCCAATTTCTTATCTTCACTGTTCATATCATAGGTTTCGCCATTCCTCCAACCCCCCACCCCCCGGCTACCTTTTTGCAATCATGACCACCTGCATCGAAAAGAGAAAGCCCGCCTTTGTCCTGGTGCCTGGCGCCTCTCAGAATCCAGCCCATTACGCCTACCTCCTCCACCTCCTCCAGTCGGCCGGATATGGAGCTACCACTGGCCTGCTCCCCAGTATCGGCGCCCAGGGCGAAGTGACCGCCGCCGATGATGCCGACTACGTCCGCAACCATCTAATCCTTCCTATGCTCAACATCGGCAACCGGGATGTGATCCTGATCAGCCATTCCTACAGTGGAATGCCGGCGAGCGCGGCTGCGCGCGGGCTTGGTCCTGCAGACCGCGCCGCCGAGGGCAAAACAACCTCCGTTGTCGGCCAAATCTTCATCGCAACCATCCTACCACGCGGTGGACTGAGTGTCATCGATTCATTTGGTGGTCATCTACCTCCTCATATGTATATCGATGTACGTATTCTTCCTTCCCCTTGCACTCTGATGACTGGCGGCCAAGACTGAGCCATATCTGTCTGATTATTGTCACCAATAGCAAGAGCACAACCTTCTCAAATGCGACGATCCCAAGCCTCCATTGTTCTACGATGTAGAACCAACCCTAGCGGACGCGGCTACCCAAACCTCGCTCAGTCAGGGGCTCATCTCATTCTCGAGCCCCTGCCCCGAAGCGAGCTGGGACACCGAGGCCTTCCGCGACCGAGTCGCGTATGTCCACACTCTCAAGGACCACGCCGTTCCGTACGAAGCGCAGGTCGCCATGGTCCAGGCTACCGGGGTGAAATGGATCACCTGCGAAGTCGCGGCCGGTCACAGTGCGCAGTTGTCCGCCCCAGAGGATCTGACCAAAATCATTCTGAAGCTGGCCCAACAATTCTGTTCGCTCTGATCCCAATCGCGGGATGTGAACGGGATTAGACGGGACTAGACGGCTTAAGACGCAGGGATCTGTGGAGGAGGGGCGTTTTGGGCACCAAAAATAATCAAAAAAAGAAGTGGAGCTCGAGTAAATGCGGATATTCCACCTAATTGTAGTTTACGTTCAATGTCACACCAGATCCTTTCGTTTTCGCAGCCCTCCGTGATCAGTGTATTGCATCTGGCTATGATCTGACCGTTGTGTGAGATGGAGTAAAATTCTCACCTTTTACCCCTTGGGTTCAAAGTTGGAATGGCATCTCTCTAAGCACCAAAACGGGGTTTCCAACGAAGGTGGACACGGGAAGAGATTTCCCGCAGTGGAGGCAGAGTCTCAGCCAGATAAGCATCAAGGATTAATTGACTACGGGTCTTAGCGGAGGGAAAGGGTACATCCAGCCTGAGAGTATACGACGTGGGGCATTATGGCCTAGCACTAGTACTGTAAGCACTAACTGGCCACTAGTTCATGAGTCGACGGGGATAATCCGTGGGCACGCTGCAATGTAACCGGTTCACTAGAGCCCCAGCAATTCTCCCTCGCTCGCAAATCATAACAAGGACAGCACAAAGGAGATATCTCCAACGATTCGTATACTACCGATGGTTCACAAAGCCTGTGTCTGGGAGCGAGGGAAAGAGGCGGCTAGGCCATTCGGCCCTTAATGAAGGACTCCACGCAGGCAACAATCGTTCTGGGGGCGGTAATGATGTGGAATTCCACGTTGGGTAGCAGCGTGTGGAATAATTCTTTCTGAGATGGCTTCATGACCTCGTCGGCGCCGCCAAGCAGCCCTCGCACAGGGACCCCCTGATTGCGCAGGGTGGCAATCGCCGGTGTGGCATCCATGTCGGGTTGTGGCGTCTGGACCATGCGCACCTGGCTCGCTATCTGGTGGGCAACAAAGGCCGGCGTTGCCCATGGCTTCTTTGGGTGGAGCAGTGGTGGGCTTGTGGAGAGAGGCCATCTATCCTGTCACCAGCAAGGGGCCATGGAAGGTTCCAGGTTGATGATAATGGCATTGGAGTATGAGACTACATCGGTCTTGTCGAGGCCGTCGAGACGAGGGTCGTCTGGTGAATGGAGCAGTATTAGTTGGAGACTGGATTGTACATCGCGGACGTGATGAGGTCATACCACAGGGCGGCACAACAGCACGGAAGCTCTTTCCAGCGTATCGAGACATACTGAGCGATCCCCTTTGCGGTGTGTTTTATATAGCCATGTGGCATACTCGGCCTTTCAGCTCTCGTAATGCCAAGCATCGGGACCTAGTCTACTTTCCGCCTCTATTGAATTGGACTCTGCAGGACTGCAGCTCTAGTGAACAACGCGCAGCCTCCATAGAAGGAGCTCACACATAGAGCCCGGTGCTTGCAGAGTGAATCACCCCCTCGGGATATAATCCTGAGCAACGAGACTGGTTCCCTAATTCTCCGATATTACCTGACTATCCACTGCCTTTGCTGCATCCACCCTCCACTATGGCTTTCGGGTCCCACCAATGAATGCGTGCTCCCGATCCCAATCGCTGAGCCAGCTTTGCCAAACCGAATGAGTTTCACAGTTACTCTCATCCACTACACAATATCTAGTGTCCGCTTCGTAGCATGCCGGTCGATGTGCTGCATCTGAACCGGGAGATCACTAGTTCCTGGTTTCCAAACCTCGCTGATAATCATGATGCCCACTCGCATATATCTGTCTGTTGTGCCTGGGGATTCGCGGAGAACTAGGAAGGCCTTCATAAACCGTGAACGTTTCAACAAGTGATATGTGGATAGCTCGAGGCAGAGTACTGGTTGGCCGTTATACAGACGGTCATCTTCTTGCATGTTTCTCCACTCGTTTGACCCCTCCGGCCACTGTTGAATGTCGGCTACCATGTCGTACATTTTTCCATTGATGTTGACTGCCACGTCGAGTACAATGTCTGATGGCCCCTCCTTTAACAGAATCATTGCGTTCACTCCGTTCGATGAAATCACCAAGGTACGAGAGGAAATACCACTCTCGGATGAACCATCACTCGGTGACCGCACTATCTCACAAAAGCTAACATTTTGATAGGATGGCGAGAAGTGATGATAGTTATAATGACATTTATGGTATACAGAGGCCCATGACCACGTGGGAATATCCAGTCTTCGTGACTCGCCCAATGTCATCATCACCCAGTCTAGTTGAAAGTGAAGATCATCTCCCCACATACCGTAGAAATAGGGACCGAGTCGGAATTGTTGGAATTGTTGCGCGACACCTTCTAGGGCGATCAGACGGTCTGTGGGATATGTGAACTGACAAGAGGAATAAGCCACAGTGAGCTCTTGCCATTCACGTAGGGGGTTGTTAGTTTGGTCCCTGGCGTCAGAGGCGCCATTGCGGAGACGACCTTCTATAACCTTCTTGGTATGAGGAATGCTTCTAAAATGACTGTGCAACTCTCGTGAAACGTTTGAACGTGTATATGGCGTCATAGATCCGCACTCGCACTGGATATTGCCACTAACACATTCCCATGCCAGTTCCTCGCTACCACAATGCAAAATGCGCCGGGACAGGATTCGTTCTTGGAAGGTCCACCCTCGTCCCAGTGTCGGGAGCACTTTTTGGTTTTCTTGGTAGCCATTCCCGAATATATCGAGATGCTCAAACAAAGCAATATGGGTCATTGAGCATGCTCGTCGCATGTAGATGTCGATGTTGCTCATCGCCGCGACATGGCTACGGAGCCTGTGTCTCTGATGCCGTTGACCACAGAACATCCCGCTAGTTGCATTCGGAGATGCAGCTGCGCTGACGGTGATCAGTGCATCTCTATAGATGGAGCCGAACTTGGAGGCCTCCTCCTTCCATTCAATAGGGTCATCTTGTACAATACAGAGAGCATCGATCCAGATAAATTCCACCCCAAGCGCAAGAGTCAAATGCATTGCGTCCTTCAGAGTTTGGGGAATGTCACTCCATAATATACCGGCCTTACGGGACCGAATGGTATCTTGGGTGGTCAGGAGATTCTTGTCACCTCCCCAACAATAGCTAAGCGCCACGTAATCCGCCCTTTGACCATGCGATGTTTCGTACAGTACCGGATTCACATTGTAAGAAGCGAGGCGGACGACCCGCTTGGGTAGATATGGCTTCCCTCTCACGGAACAGGCCTCATGAGATTGGGTGCACTGTCTTAACCATTGCCCAGCTTTATGTGCTGCCACTTTAGTGTTCATTGTCGGGCGGACATGATACCCCCTTGGAAACGGCATCAGAGGCTTCAATGTCTGCGATACCTCTATGACGATGTCAGAAAGACGAATTGAACCCCTAAGCGGAGCAAATTAGTATGTACCTTGGGTAGTATAAAATTCAATCGCTGTTTGTTTAAATGAAGCCTCGTAGATGTCCAGACGGATTGTCGATGGTTGGCTGATCGTAAGCTCGATCATATAACAGGTCGTCATCCCCTGTAGGCCGAGGGCGTGGACAAGGCCCTCCAGCAGGATGGCACATAATTCGCAGCGGGGGGTAGAGCGCTGAATATCGACCGGGGCGAAGTTCACCCTTACGGTCTTTGTCGAGTCATCATGGTCGGACAGTCGTTCCTGCGCCTCTGTGGAAAGATTTGATTTCCCCCAATACTGTAGATCCAGACAGGTATCGCACGCAGGCGCAGCCTGAGGTGGGGGTTCCATAGTTTTCATTGATGCTTCATATGGGTGACCAATCCTGAGTCGACAGGGATGTAGATTTCGGTTATTGCAAGTCAATCTCGCCTGGGCTTAAGGGCAGTCCCCTTTTCCGGGGCAATAGATCGGTTAATTATCCAGAAGTCCCATCTCACCTTAATATCAGGATTATTGGCCTGCCACGTTGAGATTTTGGGCGCGTGATCAAGGGTGTATCACATGACTCTCAGCGGCTTGCCTGTTCGGGCATAAGCAATTTAGGGCTTCGTCTGCAATTAAGCATCGGACCAAGCATTTGATTAAGCATCGAACTACTCAACCCACGCAGCATTGGCATACAACATTGGATCTAATGCATCCTTTGTGAGGATGTTCATTCTGCTTCATTTATTCCAGTTCCCTGGTGCTCCAGCTACCATTATGCGGGGGTGTATTCACAACGACCTAGACAAGCCCTGTAGATGGAGCTGCCACGCTCCCTTATAAGTCTTAGAGGTGGAAGAAAAGCATCCGGCGAACGAAGCCAAAATCCGCTAAAATGGCTGACATTGATTTTCCCCGCAACTAGCTCTAATTCATCCGGATTTGTGCATTGCCGACTTGACCATCGCCAACCCCTCGTATTGCTCAGCGGCCAGCGATCTCCCTCTCAACATACTTGAAATTAACCGACTGTTTGGCTAAAACCGCCGGCTCCGCAAGAATGCGGAGACTTGCTAGTTCCCCCTCTCCGCACTTTTGCTGTAGTATGTTTTGCCATGGCCTCCTTACTAACTGAAAGTGTGAAAGCTTTCTGCAAGACGTTGCCCGTGCAACTCCGCCGGTTCGGCTCATCACAGCTCTTATGTAGCCCTAGCAGGACTGTCCCGTAGATTTCGAATGAATTTTGATCTCTATATTAACCGAGCTTCTCAAGGCTAGAATTCCGTAGGCTGTCGAGTAAACAGAGTACACCGGATCTACAGTCATTGGAGGAAAATCCTGGCTACTGTTGGTTGTACCTACTCCGTGCCCCTCTTCGTCTGAAGGAGCGCATATCGTGAAAGATTATAAAAGCGATAGGCTAGATACACTTATTACTCCTCCAAGGACTTTACCTTTGTAGCTCTATGAGCATCTCATCACCGGTTGTAAAACGTTCACAGGCGTGACCGTCTAAAAGAACTCAACCATGTCTTCCGGAAGAAGCCTCGATCGTGCCTGTGCCGTTGCGCTGGGCTTGGTTGCCTCGGTCTCCCTTGTCGCTGCGGGGCCCTGTGACATCTACTCCTCTGGCGGCACGCCCTGTGTCGCCGCGCACAGCACCACTCGTGCCCTCTACAGTGCCTACACTGGACCACTGTATCAGGTGAAACGCGGCTCCGACGGTACCACGACCGACATCGCGCCTCTCTCCGCCGGAGGTGTGGCCAATGCCTCCGCCCAGGACTCCTTCTGTGCCAGCACGACCTGCTTGATCACGATCATTTATGACCAGTCCGGCCGCGGTAATCACCTCACCCAGGCTCCACCGGGAGGGTTTAGTGGCCCGGAATCCAATGGGTACGACAACCTAGCCAGTGCAGTTGGTGCACCAGTCACGTTGAACGGGCAGAAGGCATACGGCGTCTTTATGTCGCCTGGTACCGGGTACAGCAACAACGCTGCCAGTGGTACCGCTACAGGTGACGAGGCGGAGGGTATGTACGCGGTCCTGGACGGCACCCACTACAACAGCGCCTGCTGTTTCGACTATGGCAACGCCGAGATCAGCAGCACGGATACGGGTAATGGCCACATGGAGGCGATCTACTATGGCGACAACACTGCCTGGGGAAGCGGCGCTGGCAATGGTCCTTGGATCATGGCCGATCTGGAGAACGGCCTGTTCTCTGGCTCCAGCGCGAGTAACAACGCGGGTGACCCGTCTCTTTCCTACCGGTTCGTCACTGCGGTTGTCAAGGGAGAGGCAAACCAGTGGTCTATTCGCGGGGCCAATGCGGCATCTGGCTCACTCTCGACATATTATAGTGGCGCACGCCCCAGTGCCTCCGGCTACAATCCGATGAGCAAGGAAGGCGCCATCATTCTGGGGATCGGTGGTGATAACAGCAACGGTGCCCAAGGAACGTTCTACGAGGGTGTGATGACCTCCGGATATCCGTCTGATGCCACCGAGGATTCCGTGCAGGCTAACGTCGTAGCTGCTAAATACGCCATCGCATCGCTGACGAGTGGCCCGGCGCTCACCGTGGGCTCCTCAATCTCGTTGCAAGCCACCACGGCGGGCTACACCACCCGCTACCTCGCACACGACGGCTCTACTGTCAACACCCAGGTTGTCTCGTCGACCAGCACGACCACTTTGAAACAACAGGCGAGCTGGACGGTTCGCACGGGCCTTGCGAATAGCGCCTGCGTGTCGTTCGAGTCGATCGACACTCCCGGTAGTTTCATCCGGCACTATAACTTCGGGCTCCTACTCAATGCCAACGATGGCACAAAGCAGTTCTACGAAGACGCCACGTTCTGCCCGCAGACCGGCCTCAATGGTCAGGGGAACTCGATTCGAGCCTGGAGCTATCCCACCCGTTATTTCCGCCACTACGAAAATGTTCTTTACGCCGCGAGCAACGGTGGTGTGCAAACGTTCGACGCCACCGCCTCATTTAACGACGACGTGAGCTGGGTGGTCAGTACCGGCTTCGCTTGATCCTGCTCCAAGTTTCAGGTACCGTATCGGCGTCAAACTCTGCCATATCAATTGTTTTCCTACAGAGTGTCCCCCAAGGGTTGAATGGACGATTGACCACAGCATGTCGGCGCAGAGGATTGCTTTCTCCCTTCCCATTGCGTTTATGTCTAGTCAGCCGTTTGCATATTGAACTCGGATATAGCCTGTTATATTAAGAACCAAGACTTTTGATCAGACCTGCAGCCATCCGACAATTGAACATAGGGTACAGAGTATACAAGTGCGATTGCTGTAGATAGCAGCCATGCCGTCCGTTACTATGTTTATCCCGCAATCTTGAGCTGAGAATGGCGTAACAGCAAGCCCGCCATGTTGAACGTTTGCCAGTCGTTGGAGACGCTAACGTGGTATGCCATGCGTCTACGGACCTGTCGTTGCCAGCAACGATAGCGACCAAGTCAAAGCCATAGGTCATGTTGCAGCCAGATTGAGACAAATCCTTTCCCACTCAGAGATCCCAAGTACACGAGCAAAAACACAATTTACAAAATTTCCAAGTTCCATTAATCCTCTCCGCTTCGATCAACGTCGTTGGTTCAACACCCACACTATTCAAAACCAACCTAAAGACATAAACCAACACGATAGCAACAGAAAGAAATTATAAGCACAAGGTGGAGATCACTGCTCATTATTCTTCTCGTCGAAACAGACACACAGGGCCGTGATGAGTGCCAGATCCACGCCCGGAGCCACGATCACCGCATATGTCTGCTGATCGAAGAACATCTGGCGAGCCCGGAGCAGCTTGCGATCGATCTGCGCCACCACTGCTCCCGTGGCTTCCTCCACAATGTCCGCCTTGGAGTCCCGCCAGTTCCCCTTCATCTTCAAGGAGACCGTGCTGCCGGTTCTGGGGGATGTAAAGGTGGCGGTAGCTTTGGAGCCGATCACTGGAGGCGGTTATTAGCCAAAACGTAAACCGAAATCGAGCAAATGAAGAAGATAAAGCTCATGAAAACCACCAGGAAAGGGCCACCCACAGGACAGACTACTCTTGACCTCGAGTAATTTCCTTCCATCCGGAGCCTCAGCCGCAAAGGTGGAATGGATGTGTAGATGCTGCTTAACGATATCGAACAAGTGATTGCCCGCCATGTCGAAGACCGATTTGCGACCCGAGATGCTCAGGTGCTTAGCTTTAATTTGAAAGATGGGCTGACCACTAGCCATCTTCACATCAAAGCTATCCCCCGAGAGGGAGAGGACTTTTTCCTTCAGCACCAGGGTCTCGGTTTGTGGCGCGATAAATTGGTCCATGATCGCCACCGGGGTCGGGACCGGCGGGAGTTGCTGGGAAGCCATTGTTCTGCCTGTAGATTAGGGTGTAGCTGTTATCTGAGTGTTCTGTCTGAGTTGCAATCCTGGGTTGCAGAAAGGATGATCGAGGTCTGGTTTCTCCCAGGCTTTTATGGTGCTGGGAGGATCAGTAGTGGGGCAGGTGTGGCAGTGTTGGTTCGGGGCCGATCCTGCGCATTCAAATGCAACTCTAACCATGGATAGCTTAGTCTGTGGCTCAGCTATCTTCGTATTTCTGCCTGGGATCCTGGTTCCAGTAGTTCGTATTCGGTGGGCGGGGGTGAATGCCATAGCCCTAAAGGAGAATCTCCGCCGAATGATGAATCGGACGATTTGTAGCCAACCCGAATGTAAACACGTACCAAACTGGCAGTATTGGTGTTGAAAGACGCTTCTACTCTGTCCGAATACATTAATCGGCATTAGATGATCCCATCTTCTCCCTGTTCAATTCTCGTCATCTGTTCCACCAGCCTCATGGCGATCTTCCTCGTCTTTCGATCCAACGCCGTCACGGTGGATATCCATTCGAGCCGCTGCTTCCAGAACCCCCATCGCTCCTTCGACCAACCTGCGGGTCCCCTCCATTTATCCCAAGCAGAAATCTCCTGGCCCAAGGAACCTTCTTTGCGATATATCTCCTGGCCACAGTACTCGATCCACACCGCCGCAGCGGGCACAAACCCATTCAGCGTCCTGATATCAATCACCTCCAGCTCCTCGTCGCGCAGCTGATTGTACAACGAGTCTTCCTCGACGTCTTCGAGATAGGCTTCAATGCGCGGATGATGAAATCTCTCCCATGGAGCCGACTCCAGAGTCTTTCTCAATACCTGCGACCCAAAGCCAATGAAAAATCCAAACTTATTCGGCCGCGGGATCCGCAGGTAGAGCTTGGCTGTGAAGAGGTTCGCATTGACGAAGCCGCACCGCTCTTGGTCGCGCGTCGTTTCGTTGAAGGAGTGATCGGCGTCTATTACTGTTTAGAGTCTGCTTGGGGATCCAGCATCGTTGAATCAATAACCCACGGTTGAAAGTAAACTCAGTCAAATGCATCGCAAGCCCGTCCAATTCGTGCATCTCCCCATCATAGTTGGGCAGTTGCTGTAGTGCAACGGTGAAGTCCACGAGTCGGTCGTTTTGCTCTGGAAATCGCTCCACTGCCGCCATGAGGACCGACCAGATGTCGCCGTATTCTGGGATGGGGTTCGCTTCAATGGCTGCGCAGGAAAGAGCTATCTTGGCTACTTCAGCAGGTGACACCGAGGAGTCGGTCAAGAGGAATCGAAAACCAGTGAGAGTGTCCTCGCGAGGGGGCCATTTATGTGCGGCCTGCTCAGCCAAAAACGCTTCATACTGGGGACTGATCAGCATGGTGGCGGCAATTCAGTATCTCGAATGTCTGTCCATATCAGTTTGCAGGGAAAGGTTGATAGACTTGGTCTATATTTCTTGCTGTTCAAGCGAGGCCCGAGAGCTCCTTGTTGTATGAGTTTTGCCGCTACCCGAGTGAAGTCGGTGGTCATGCTTGCAGGGATTCAGACCACCGTGGTCTCGCTTATTAACAGTATTGGCCTTTAACTATGCCCCACGACCTGTACCGTCCGCATCGTGTTGTTAAGCTATTGGCTGTGTCTCCGCATATCTCCAACCCTTGCTCTTCCGTTTCCAACCCGACCACAGAGGACGTAGATCGTTCTCAAGGGCTGTCCAGACCTACGCCTCTTGCATCTAACATTGATCTTACAACACTGCCACCGTCCCACCTCGCACGACGTTCTCTCTTGCATGCCTGTCGGAAGGTCTCCTAGCACAGGAAATGATTTTCTCAATCGTGTTTCTTCCTCCATGGTGCATTCCATAGCTAGAGCGATACCAATCGCTCAACACTTTAGCCGCCAGAAGTCATAGTCGGCGATTGCATAAGGCCGTCTGCTCCAGTTGTTACTCCGTAAAGCTCGACGACAAATAACATACCCATATTGACTCTATGTTTACCCGAAGGCTATGTCGGGTATGGACTCACCCATTTTTCTTCGCACAGACAGGTGCCTCTAGCCATTCAAGTGGCGTGGGACTGCTGGTACAAACCAGGGCGACCTATTCCAGGAATTGACGTACAGAGGAGCGTTTGCCATTCGTCACTAACCGATGAAGATATACAGTAGTTCCACATGAATCTGAAGTCCTGTGACAATGTTAATCATTCAGTGATGTAGAACAGGGTTACTCGCTTGCCTCCGGACTTCCTCGCACCTACTAGAACTCTAATTCAGTTAAGTAGCAAGCTGATATGTATGGTAGATCATGACCCTCAACACCAACCCGAACTATGTATTTCTCCCAATCTGTATATGCAGCTATATGGAACGTGAGGCACTATTCTAAGCGATGAGATAACTTCGTATAACAATTCCAATGAAAATGCGTGATCATCTATCCACCTTGAAGGTCGCATGTCGTGAGGTACCGCGCTGCGCCAATCAAGCTTGACGCTTCTGCTTGCCACACTTTTTCAAACACTCCTCCACCTTAATGGCCATAGTTGTCGGAATGGCATCCCGTACAGTCTCGATATCCTCACCGGCAATGCTCTGTCCAAAGGTGGCAGCAATCACATCATCGCTAAGGGAAAACGTCTCTGCTGCCACGAGACCCACAGCAAATTCATCGGAGTTGAAGGCGGCCGCGAAACTGGCCGGCTCACAGTCCGGGTTCACCTGTGTGTGAAATGAGCCGGCCGGATAGATGGTCACCACACCGGGGCTGAGCTCCACACGGATGACTCGTTGCTTGCCTTCAGAGTCCAGGACGCCCGCCTCAGGTACCATTTCGGACAAGACGCGTCCGGACGTGAGGGCGAAGAGCTCCGTCGCACGCGGGTGAAGGTGGAGGAAGCTCATGCTGCATGCTATGGAGATAGATTAGTGCCATTCCAGAGCTGGCTCGATTCTGGCTGGAAATACCTGGCAATTCCCCCATACTGAAGGAGGCACCGGTGCCAACAAGGGCCGGAAAATTCTGGCTGGTGGCAACCGGAGCCTCACTGGCAGTGAAGTTGAAGACAAAGTCTTCATCCTTTGGAAGGAGCTGGTAACGTTCAACGGCACTAAACAATTAGGTCGTTTGTTTTGCGTTACAGGTTCATCTTGAGAGACTTACGTGTCTGCAAGTCGCAGTTGAGCTGTCAAGCTAAGTTCAGACGTTGAGCGCTTGCTGATCGGTTGGGGAGCTGCGCATGCCGGAAGGGCCAGGGTGAGCATCACCGCGACGATGGAAGGCAGGGCGGACACAGCAAGCATGGTGGTTGTGCGAGTTGGATAGAAAGAGGTGGCTTGTGTTGTGAAATAGTAGGAAGTAGTGAAGGGATTGCTTTATCGGTGTTTTTGAGAACTGAACGATCAGGAGAGGAGGCCAGCTGGGGCTTTATATATCTCTCGAGCTGTGCATCGTTGTCCGTTGGGTACATCATGTCCAAACTCAACAAGCAACATGTATTCCAAATAGCATTCTTCAGGCCGCCTCATCTCCAGCGCATAAAGTGTGCCAAGTGGGAGTTCCATATATACGCACCGCACAGCCATCGTCCTTCACCTCACTCCGATCTCGTATTGGTTGTTTCTTGTACTGGGCGCAGGAGGTCGAGCGTATTAGTAATACGACACGCCCTCGGCCCCATAAAAAATAGACGCCAAACCGATCCACCCTTCCGCAGCGTATCCCCACAATCTCGTGTCGAACTTCTATCATCCAACGCAGCGTGACTCCTCCTAGAAGATATGAATTTGGACAATGTGGTGGCACCTGGTCGCGACACTGCCGACTTCACTCCGCGTAACCACGGTGGGACATGACGTGAGCTTCTTCAACGTCTCTAAAGGCAAGGCCAACCTAGGCCTCGCGGGCTCAAATATATATATATCCCAAAGACGAGGAACGGAGAACTACTTCTCCATTCATGAAGCAGTTTCGCAGGATATCGAAGAATTGACAGCATCTATTACCAGTAAATCCCAAGGTCAACATGGTTAAGTATCTTCAGCGCTTTGTGATCCTCATATTCGGAGTGAAGTTGGCCACGGGTCAGGCCGTGTCAACTGCAGCGGCACAATCGACAGGATGGAATTCCAGCTTTGAGCTCAACCCTGAGCAGCTGAGGCTGGCCAACCTGACAAGCGATATGGGTGCCATCATCAACACGATTACCAACTTTGACCGGTCCCAGCTGGCAAACGGTGGAGCACATGAGGATGACTTTTACAATGTTCAGACCCTGCCCCGGGACCAATGGCCCAAGGAGCCGGGGAGGACGATCAAGCTCCAAGAGTTCACGGACCCGTCGCCATTCTCCATTCCTGCAAAGACAGCTATGTCCCGCATCATCTATAGCACGACCAATGCAAACGGTACTCTGATCCCTGCGTCTGCGTATGTCCTCTGGCCATATCAACCGAAAATTCGTCGAGGCACAAACCGCACCTCTGCATCATCCGCACCAGTTGTGTTATGGACTCATGGAACCTCTGGCTTTTATGCCAACGGAGCTCCCTCGACGCACCGTGGCCTTTTCTACGCGGACATCGTTCCATTCGCGCTGGCCGAGGCTGGGTACGCGGTTGTTGCCCCGGACTATGCTGGGCTTGGTGTAGACGTCTCCTGGGATGGAAGTCGTATCCCACACCAGTATTTTGTTCGCGAAGCCGGTGCTCACGACGCTCTTAATGCTTTGAGAGCGGTTCAGGAGTCCTTTCCAACGCGACTCTCAAGCGATTACGTCGTCATGGGTCACAGCCAGGGTGGTGCGGTTGCATGGGGCCTATCTGAAATCCTTGGTCGGAAAGATCCTAAGTTTGGGGATGTTGCGAAGGGTTACCGTGGTGCTGTTCTTGCTGCACCACCAACTGACGCATTCTCATTGACCTCTGCAGGCTTTCTCGCTTGGATTGCCAAGGACCTTGACCAGATATACCCATCCTTTAACCTCAGTGACTGGTTCACTCCACTTGGTATTAGCAGAATAAACCTTCTGAACGAGATTCAAGGATCCCAAATGGTTACATTTGCCATGTTCAGTCCAGACGAGGTGATCCTACAGCCCGATTGGCATGAGACTTGGTATACTGGAGCTTTCGAGCAACTAGCCAACCCTGGAAAGCGGCCCTTCAAAGGACCGTTTCTTCTCGTCCACGGAACAGCAGACCCAGCAGTACCATACAACACGACGAAGACTACTGTGAAAAAGACATGCGAGATGGAACCTGGGGACCTGGAGCTTCTGGCTGTGCCGCAAGGGAGTCATTTCGCCGCCATTAACGCGGCCAAACAGACCTGGTTGCGGTGGATTGAAGATCGATTCGAGCAGCGGCCTGTGAGCAAGAGGGGTTGCTTCGAGTCCCAGTTGGACAGCCTCTTGCCCGTGGAGTCTTATCAAGCGCTTCCGAAATCGTTCCCGCTGTGGGCTGGGGAGTCACAGTGGTCTTACGAACTACCGACGGCATTGTAATCTCCAACTGTGGGAGAGAGAAGAATAGTGAAGGTCGGATGGGATTTGGTAGATGTGGGAACATGTAGCTTGGTTACGTTAATACTTGCATTCTTCCAATGTACACTCATTCCTGAAAGGTATCCTTGTGCATACTACAGACATTAGTCTAGAGCCTTTTTGACATCCTACACGCCCTGTTAATGCGATTGTGGTCTAGATAGGGGCTGTCAGCTTTCATTCATGTATGTAAACTTTCGTTGTTCTATGTTATAGTCGTCATCCGGTATGTTACTGGTATAGCGCCTATATCTCGCGTATTGACTCTAACGCTCTTTGTAGATTAAAAGCCGTCCTACATGCGTATGGATGGATCGCCCGATAGTGCAAAATGAAACAGCGATCCCATGATCTATGGCTGCTGGACATTGGGGGTGAGCTCCCGCTTAACCATGTACATGCTCTCCGGCCACCACGTTTCTCGAGGATCTGCCGATGAGCCCAGCAGCTTCTGGGTCTTCATCAATGAGATAACCTGACCTAGTTCCCACTGTCCAATATCACCAATCCACCATACACCGTCCAGTAACATGACAAGGACGAGCCAGTGGGCAAAGATATCCATGGCTAGTAAATGCGTCGGGTTGAGCGACGGTGCCTCGGCTCTAGGAGAATCCTGTATCATCCAACTCTCAGCCCTCGCCTCTATGGAGGGAGAGTCGAGCACCGACCGGACAAGGGTTAGATATTCAGCCGGGGCTTCGTTCAAGAATGACATGATGATCCGTCGAAGTATCTGTGGTGACTCCATTGATGTCACACTGATCATGTATCTTGCCACCCATGGTGAGACTCTAGAAAATCTATGAGATGGTAGAGCCTGATCCCTGGGACTCCTGGCGCGTTCGTCGCCTTCTCTTGTCGACAGAGCTAGGGATGCGCATTTCTCGAGCACAAACACAGTCTCTAAGGTGACGTGGAGCTGTGGGTTGTTGCAAGCGGAAGGCTCTGACCTCTCTAAAAGGGCTGCGGTAGATTCAGCTCTCCGGCGGAGGTTCTCGAAAGCTCGCGTATATGTAGATGCGACTAGAGGGAGAAACAGACGCTTCGTATTCTCAGATGGGCCGTCCTGCGGTGACAAGACAGCCGCGCTACGGAAGACCGGGGTCGGCACATTCGGTTCTGCATCTATAGCCGGGCTGGGAGTGGACCTCCGAACGTTATCCGGAACATTGACGGTGTCGTTAAGAACTGCAGTGGAGGCTGTATGGGCTGCGCGTGTAAACGAGATCCACTGTGAGTGTTGGGGAAATAGCTCATCTGGCAACCGCTGTCCATACTGTTTCGCAGTGGCTGCAAGATGTACTCGAATAGAGTGACTGGCTGAGGCGTACAATACCATTAATGCGGCGTTTGCGAGGACATGGTCGTACGAATCCGAGTTATGCATATCCGTTTGTATGTGGCGAAGGGAGGCTCTATGGTGGCGCTCCGCAAGCGCCAGTAGCTCTTGGATCTGCATTAGGCTCTGGCGGTCTAGAAGCGTCTGGGCTCGCTTCGCTATATCGTGGGACTTGCATGCTGCTGCCAAGGCTAGCAGGGATGACATGACGACCTTAGAGTTGAAAGCCAGATTTGGAACACCTATGGAAAGAGCATACACATCGAGATTGTCCACAGGTATAGTTTGGCTAGTGTGCGTGATATAGTGGGCTAGGAGATCGAGCTCTGTCGCATCGAGGGTGCCGGGGAGGTCTGAATTCAATGCCAGTCCTTCTTCAGTTGTACTAAGACTTGAAGAGGTACTAGGTTGTCCACCAGATGGAGGACTGGGTGCCGAAGGGCGATCACTCGAATTTGCGGATGGCGACCCAGAACCCGGGGCCACAGAACTAGGGCTTTTGGGTGGAACTGGCAAGTGGGTCGATTCCTGCTCCTCCGACAAATTGCCATCACTGGGACAGTCTCGATATCGACATCTATACATGCGCTTGGTACATCTGGAGCAACTCGGTCTCAATTCATCGCACTGGGTGATATGATCAGAACAATGAGTGCAGAGCCATCGTAGTCGAGCCCTGGCCTACCTTCTTCCGCTGTTGCTTACATCGGACGCAACCATTCCTGGATTTCTCATGTGTCCTGCGGAACCTAAATCCAGGTACCTGGAGCCCCGGCAGTGCCGTATCGCTAGGCATCTTGCCCACAGCACCAGCAGTCACCGGCTAAAACCTGCTCGCGCAAACAAGGTTGTGGACGGTCGCGGGAAGATCGGGAGCGTATTAGCTAATGTGGCCCAAGGCTCGTCTTCGACGACTCTGAGGAGAAACCCTTGGGGTGATCCTTCTACGTTTGATTTAAGGGCCCGTTCTGGAGTCTTCTCTGAGGCTGAGATTGCTTCAGCCCCACGGGTCAATACGCCCCGGAATCAGCACTAAACTGTGGATGTTGGTTGTTCAGCCTCGTCGAAGGTGGGAAAAAGTTCGGCTTAGGTGGAGCCTTCTTGGCATTTTATTTCCACGATATCTGGATGAATTTCATGTACTCTACTTTGTCTGTCTCTTGCCTGTGAGTATAGGCAGCGTCCTGGCTTGTAGTGTAGGCACTGACTTCTAGATCCTGGAAGCTTCTCAAGTATATCAAGGGGACTCTTTGCCCCTACGCTTCAGGGCGCGAAGTTGGATTAGTGCTAGAGCTATTGTAGCAGTCCAGCCCGGTGGAAATAAACCGCCAAGAAATCTCTACATAAGCCAAGTGTTGTTCTCGCTGGAACACGTCGAACATGTGGAGATTCGCCGAGTCGCTGCCACGCGCTCGTTTCAGCGGGGAGTACGATTATTCGACCTGGTATCTCGCTCGACCAAAAAGACTCAGCAGATCAGTTGATAATCGTAGAGGCCAAGAAGGTGAGGCATGTAACTTCTCGATTGCCCCGGTTATTAGCGTATATGGGTAAGCATCCCCAGTGGTTTTAATGTATATATATACAGTGAAAGTGTATGTTTAACATTAGGTCAGGTGCGGTACAGCTCACCCAGCGGAGTGCCCGAAAAGCACATATCTGCTTTTTTTGTGGCATTTGCAGCTGCTGAATTCATTGCTAATGTACTATGGTACTCGATTACAACATTCTGTGGGGATTCTAGCCAAGGCCAGCAGATCTGGGTTGTGTTAAATTAGATGGTGGCCTGTGCGGATGTCTGGCCTCAGGATTCAGATACACTGTAGTGTTCCTTAGAAGCGGCTATTGAATGACCCTTGCGTTTGATTTAGTATTTTACAGAACATATTGCTGGAAATGGAGAGGAAACTGGAGTTGACCAAAGGAAATATGGAGTTTGTCGCCACCATCTATAAAGGGAGATAGATGCATAGTAGCCGGTGTTCTCTATCAGACGTAAATTCCGTACATAATAAATGCATTGTATCTTGGCTCGACCATTGGTAGCTATGGCTCACGGCTTGAATGTCTCAAACCCGAAGAAGGTACCAGCTGCCATAGTGGGTGGTGGGTGTAGGGAAAGTGGTCCTTTGGAAAAGTCTCCGCGAAAGGCTCCGAGCGAGTAACTTGGTGGCGTTGGCGCTTATAGATATAAATACGAGAACCAGCACACTTTCGTGGTCGACCGAAGTCTTTGTTCTCACCATTTTCTCAGGCTTCAGGAATAACCTGCGGTCCCGTTCCATCATTCTCCGTTTTCTAATACTGGCTGTTGAGTTCATTCTCCACCTGCACAATGCAGATTAATGAGATCAAATCGTCTGACTGGGACTCCACCGCGTCCGAATATCTCAAAATCCCCCTCGAAGGGCCACTGCTGATTCCCTGTAAGCGCATGATTGAAGCCTTGCAGAACGCCGTCAGCTTTTCATCGGCCACAACGATCTTAGACATTGGCAGTGGTCCCGGCACTGCGATCAGTGTGCTGATCGATGGCTATGGCAACAACATTCCACTAGAATGTCGATTGGTCGCGACAGACTACTCCGCAGGCATGGTGGCAGCGACCAGGGCCAGGAAGGACTCGAACATAGCAGCCAGAGCCGACCCTGCAAACTGTTGGGGCCGAGTCGAGACACTGGTTGTGGATGCACAGGATCTGTCTGAATTTCCCTCGAATAGCGTCTCCCACATCATGGGGAGTCTTGTCTATTTCATGCTCCCAGACCCAATGAAGGGACTGAGAGAGGCTCATCGAGTGCTGCAATCCGGATGCGTCTTCGCATGTACCAGCTGGGCAAAGGTCGAGTGGATGGAACTCCTTCTTAGGGCGGCCCACAAGGTGCGACAGGTCGGGGGTGATAGTAACGTAAGTCTTCTCATATTCTTCATGCTTTGTTGCAGCCAGTATCTAACAGTTGGGTGGGAAGTCAACCGAAACAAAAGCGAGCAATATGATCCCCGCTCAGTGGCAAGATACTGCTGGAGTGAAGGGAGAGATCGAATCTGCTGGTTTCCGTGACGTGCATACTGAGTACGTCGAATTCAACTGGGTGGTTGAAGACCGTGGAAAGTTCGCCGACATGATGTCCACAAGTTCCAATCCCGGTGCCCAAATGATCCTGGGCGATTTTACCCCCGAGGAAAAACAACAAGTTCGCGAGGAGTATCTGAGGATTCTAGAGGAGAACGGCGATGTATGCAAAGGTGTCGCGGTCCTAGGTGTTGGTAGGAAATAATTGATAGGCGCATTTTTGTATGGACTCCCCTAGGTGCTTGAACTGGCTTCCCAGTACCATAATTTGAGAAATGCCATCTTGGATTGAACGAAAGGAAAGGAACCATAATACTGTCAAGGTCAAGGCCATATATTTACTGCTGGCATCGATCCCACTGGGCCGAAGCTCATCCTTGTAGCCATCATTCTAGACAGTACGCACGGAGTCATACGAAAATCAAGCAACAGCAACATGGGTTATTTGCTTGCGGAGATATGTCTCCTGTATGGGACAGCCGTGGTGTTCAGCCACTTCCCACTCGCCAATGCCGCGCTCCTTTGGTGCGATTTTTACACCTCTACCCCCGCCACCAATAATCAGATTTCCTGGCCGATACTCTGGGTTCACCTTCAGGCGGTTGATGGCTGATACGTGTATCTTTGCATCACGGGGAATATCACGCACTTCACCGCGCGGAAGAGGCCAGCGAATGGGCTTCCAAGAGCCATCCTCTTGTAGGTCCATCCGACGGAAGGGCATATACTCCATAACTTTCCAAGACAGGACGGACGTCCATGGGAGCCCTTTCCGGAACTCCAGGCAGTCATGGATTTTGCCATCCGTGCTCGATCTCCGAAGGGCATGTTCAAAGTGAGAAAGGCCCGCCTTCTCATCGATGGTGTCTGGTGCAATGACTACTGGGTCTGGCTTGCTCCTGTGACTCTCCGCAGAAGCCCTGTCCTGCGCTCGGCCCTGGGCCTTACAACCTGGATCATGCCAGCAGTTGAAGTACTTCCTTTTTTTCACACTGAATTGCACCCCCGCCTCCTGTGCCTTTTCTACCATCCAGACCAGGGGAGCGTGACTTAACGCATACGTTTCGCCATCTTCTAGTTCCCACCCTCCTCCAATGTCCGCGTGGCATCCGGGGAACCATACCTCTTCGATATCCTGCTCTTCATCCTCCTCTGTCTCCAGAGATAGGGACGAACAACTCGCCGCGGCGCTTGGTAAAGAGCGCGCGGAGCGGTCGTCTCGGAGACGGCGAGCCGGCGGTCGATACACTGTATGTGTCTTGGTCTTCCCCTGGGGTCCATGGTTGGCAGCGTTTTCGGTATTCCGAGAGCCATCAGTCGCAGCCGCTCCATTGTGATGCTCCTTCTCATGATCACGGTGGGGGTGAGCAGGATTGTACGGGAGATATACGTGGTGTCGTGCGAGGTGATCCCGCACCCGTTGTCGTCGGGAGGTCGGGTCCGTGGGAGTAGACGGTCTTAGTTCGCCGATCAAGTCCTGTCGGAACTTGGCCCGGCGCTCATCAATACTGACCGCATGGCGAATGACCTTGGCTCGGGTGCGAGCAGTATACGGGAATTTGCTGCGCTGCATCCACGCATTCTCAAATCGGGGAACGCTGTTGACAGTATCAAAGAGTCCCAAGAAGCGAATCTGGGACACCGGCCGACTAAAGGTTTCGCGAAACGCTTCCATGTATCGGGATAATTTATCCTTCTCTTCCTTGTTGCCTCGACGTTGTTGCCATTTGGCGAAGGTCTTCCAAGCAAACCGCAGCAGTTCTTCATTACCTGCCTCGAGAAGGCCGATCTCATCCAGCATTTCCGCTAGAAAACGTGCGACATAGGCACCGCGACTAAACCCGAAAAAGTAGATATCGTCTCCCGGCGTGTAGTATCGCATGAGGAACTTGTAGCCTCCCATGACATGTTCGGCCAGGGTGGAACCTATGGCGGCGTCTTTTGCTTTGAGATAGGCAGATCGGATTTTGTGGATGCGACCGGTATTCGACAGCGAGGTCGAGGTCACATAGGTGCCAATGCCGGGTTGATAGTAGTGGAATTGATCGCCGCCACTGCGATCCAGCATCTAACCCCCGTCAAGACAGTCCAGGTCTCCGGCGCATAAGACTTACTCTGAAAATTTTCAGCACATTGCTGTCAGATTCATTGCCAGAAAATTTGTTGCCCGTGCCGTCAAAGCACAGCACAAATTGTCTTGGTGTTCGATCCGCCTGCATGATCTTGACGATCGATGTGATGAACCACCGGGTTCCTATGCACAAGTGCAGAGCCTACCTTTCGGACTACGACTGGAGGTTAGCGTATGGACTCTCTACTGGGCCTTTTAGCTTCTGCACCAGTGTCGAGCAAATCGATGCTTTCGGCAAGTCTGGAACTGTGGATGGCGCAATGCCGTCAGCACTTCATGCTCAGTCTGGTCCAGGACACAGTTGCGGAAACGACCATATAAGCTCCGAACCGTGATGCACAATCGTGTTGTGCAATTGGAGGTCCAGAGATCTGTGGGACCTACGTATAATGTCATACTTCCGCACGTTGCCCATGTCGTGATGTCATTAGCAGTGAAAGTAAACTATGTCGCATGAGAACACGCCCGGCATGCCGTATCGCTCAATAGCAGTTGGAGTCAGCCTCTCCACCCCATGTCCGGATGCAGTGGTTTCAACTGTCATATAACTTAAACCTTCCTAGGCTGCGGTCGTTGGTGATCAGAGCCTTAGTTCAGAACCATGAACCTCACCAGTCTGTGGCTTCCAGGCTAAAATGATGTCATTGACCAGCATATCCGAGCATATCGGACGTTAGTAATCTAGTGGGGACCTGGAATCGCCTTCCTCCATCTACTTCAATTGAGTAATACCCTTTAGGTTCATTGACAGCTGATGAAGACCTCTCCGACGCTCGATGTGTTGATTTAATATGGCCACCCACAGCGACCATATCTCCAGAACTCAATGTGAAGTTAACTTTTGGAACAGAGTAGTTCCAACAGGACTATTCGCATCGCAGTTTTGGCCGACACTGCGGCGTGTAAAGATGCGTTCCTCAGAGAGTGTGGTATCTAGTAGCTGGGCATATGTGTCGTGGCTGATATTGATCAGCCCCACGGCCACGTTGCATGTATCATTGAATGGCTGCCTGAGGCTAGTGTGGCTGAGTCTTCTGATAAACTTGTTTGCGAGACGCCTGAAGGCGTCCATTGCTGGCATGTTCGTGCATCTTGGATCCGTGCTCGTCATCCTCCTTCCTGCCAAATACTTCGTCGTTCTAATCAACCCGTCGTCATGGATCCAATTCACTTGAAAATCGAAGCCCCCACCCCGCATGACTTTGAAACTCCAATCCAAACCATCATCACGGCAGCAATCCAACCCACCAACGCCCTGCCTGCCAAAGATGCAGCTCTCGCACTAGACACAGGCTACGTGGACTACATAAAAAATCCTGGCATGGACCCAGCGGGCGTCCTCACCTGTTTCTGGGAGTTGATCAATAGTTTTGCTAGCCAGATACCCTATGAGAGCCCCGCACAGGAGAAATTGGTCGCCATCGTCCAAGAGCTAGCGGGCGTTACCTCAAAGCAGACCATCCTAAACCAAAAGCTGTGGAGGAACGTGCCCTATTTTGCCTCTGAATTTCCGCAAAGCTGGGAAGGTAAACGCTTCTCTGATTGTTTTCCGATCCTGTTGGAGTCATGGAAGAGCTACTAATGACTGCTAGCGGTGAGTCCCGATGCGACCGACGACGAGAAGAAACGTCGGTTTGTCAATCTCCAGGCTTACGCGGCTCGGGTACTTGGGCTCGGTCTCGTCCCGCTCGAGATGTATGCAATCTGGGCGTTATCCGATGTGGCAGAGGGGGTCATGCTGCCTGTTCGGGGCAGTCCCGATGTCGTTTCGGCTGATCCCAGTGACGTCGATCAATTGCCCTTTAAAGCTGCTGCGGCGGGGGTGTGGATTCTGTATGCTGCTCACGCTCTATATGGACGAGATGAAGCCATTGGAGGCACCCAGGGAGGCCCGCTGTGGATGTTGTCGAAAGTCGAGCGAAGGAAGTTGAGGCGGAAGTTCAGAGGTACCCAGGGATTGTGTCTTGATCGCTGGCTACTGTGGAAGCAGCAATTCGGTGCTATTCGGGATTGTGGGTTGGCCGATGCAGACACGAGGACGTTGGCAGGCAATGTTGTGGAGACAATGGATAGGGTTGAGGGTCATAGCTGATACACGCTCAGATCATACTTTCAAGTCTCTAACTGCTCAGTACGTACAAGATACTTGGTGCAATCTAATAGCCCGTCCCCTCGCCCATGCCGTCACTCCCTTCGTGCTTATGCCCTTCATGGCCATGTTTCTTCGCGACCACCATCCGATCCGAATGCAGGGACACGCCCGCCTCGGTCACAATCGTATCCAACGCGTCACGCTTCAGAAACATCATCTCGCAGTGATTGATATGAGCCAGGTTATTATACCGAGCTTCAATCACCGTACCCATCTCAGCAGCCAAGAACATCTTCTTCCAGTAGTACGCACAATGGACCAAATGCCACTGATGGGTGGTAAAGAAATGCGATCCGGTTTTCGGGAGCATGGACACTTCTTCCAGTGAGAGGACCTGTGTTTTGTTTTTATCCGCATAGTAGAGCCAGCTCCCGTCGGAGTTGGGGCCAGATGCCTCGAACTGCTCGAGAAGTTCGTCATTTCGACAGGCCGGAGGGAGCCAAGCAGCTGCAATGGAGTCATATTTGCAGCTATTGGCGATGGCTTCTTCAACCGTCTCTCCACAGTTACAGGATATTGGCTTGCGAGAGCGGATCGAAATATATACTCGGTATGTCAAATCGAGGAAGCCAAACGTCGCTAGCAGTAGAAGGAAGGCGTATTTGACGCGAATGGCAAGCTTCCGGTCACGCTTTGCCATTCCGGAAGATTCATAGTGAGCTTCAAGATGCTCCGAATCATCCGAGCTATCTTCATCCATAAGACGTTTGTATTTAGCCATTTTTCTGAGCAAACAAGTTTGATTCGGCCTGGGTCTCTCGACAGAGGTTACCGCCGTGCTTTGCAGTGGTGCTGGGGTAGTCAGACTGGGGCACGTTTAGAGATGGCGTAGTGAAACGCAAAGACTCTCTAGTACGACGCAATATGGTGAGCCAGAAGGAATTCCTCCGCCATTCGTATCGAATATATGCACCCCGCTAGGACCAACAAAAGGCTCACGTAGGCGAAAACCCTATACAACGCGGGTACCGAGTGCTGTTCCCGCCCCCAATCATGGAACCTGATCCTTCACACTCCCCCGACGTTACATTGCAGGATCCGGTGTGTATTAGTGCATCCCGGTTCTTCAGTGACATACTATCCAATTATAGTCGGACTGCGTCTCCAACAACCTGCAGGCGTAGACACTAAATCGTGTAGGCCAACCACTGCCAAGTAATACAGAGATATCGGCCATGGCCAGGCGGAAGACTACTGGGCGCCCATAGAGAGACAGGTGTGGTGCACCTTGAGGATAAGCATGTACGTGCGGGGTTCTGTACATGCTGACAAGACCGTTATCTAATAGTCTAGCACTACTTGGTGGGTTCGCGGAGCAGCGAGGAAGGCCTCCGATACCAATTTCCAACTTGAGAATGATACTGCATGTCACGTGGGTGGAGTAGAATTTCCAGAGACCTACAGAATCCTGGACTAAGGATGATGAAGACTTTCATTCGATAGTACGTTAAGTATAAACCAAGCGAGTCATCTTCCGTTGCACTGGTAGTGACAGCAGCGCCTACGGATAGAAGGGAATGGCCTCACTGCTATCTGCCCGACGCTGGTAAAAGGGTATAGCCTCACTACTGTCGTCCCTCTTCTGATAGAATGGGATAGCCTCGCTGTTTTCCTCCCTCTTTGGATAGAATGGGATAGCCTCACTATTCTCCCCCCGCTTTTCGTAGAATGGAATAGCTTCGCTATTGTCTTCCCTTTTTGGATAGAAGGGAATGGCCTCACTCTCCTCAGCCCGCTTTTCATAGAAAGGAATGGCCTCACTGTTGTCTGCCCGACGCTGGTAAAAGGGTATAGCCTCACTACTATCGTCCCTCTTCTGATAGAATGGGATAGCCTCGCTGTTTTCCTCCCTCTTTGGATAGAATGGAATAGCTTCGCTATCCCCTGCACGCTTTTCGTAAAACGGGATGGCTTCACTATTGTCCGTACGTTTTTCGTAGAAGGGAATTGCCTCGTTATCCTGACCAGCTACATAAGGCGACGTCAGCAGAGAAACATTCATTGGGCGGTTGTCCAGACCTATGGGTGCAGTATAGGCCAAGGGCGCTCCAATGGCCAGAAGTGCGACGATAACGTTGAACTGCATGATGGTGGATGGTTCCGAAGGGAAAGTTCTCAATGGGAATTCAGAATGCGCACAGTAAGGGTTAACAGAAAGCTATGCCGATATATCCTCGGTGTCGAAGGACGGCCTTTATATCCACGTTGTGAACACATCTGGGACGCATGCTGAAGTACAGCCACGTACAGTTTGCGCTTACGTTCAAATTCGAGAATAACCTTTTGCGTCGTAGATGTGGTCACAGGGATGATAATACAGCAGAAGGATTCTGCTGGATTACTCTAGCGGGCTCAGACACATGGTCAGCATATAGTGGATGTAACATGGATAGCCCTCCAGTGTATCCTATAAGCTGGACCATCTGAATCCAAGTTCTATGCCTGCCGGAAGGATCTATATCTCCTCTTCGCCAAGCATGCCAAGGCATGTCGTCGCGGAATCCCGACGGACTTGCCGAATCTGTGTTTGTTCTATCAGTCCTTCAGGTTTCGCTGGGGTACGATATTCCGCCATATTGCACCACTTCAGCCTGATATGATTTGTATCTTGGTCTATCTCGCTCTTCCAGGCGTTCAATATCCGTGTAAGTCGCTGCCGCCATAATACGACCGACAACGAGGCTCACCCTTAGTTGCCGCAGCCATTTCTTCTCTCGTTTCACATACCTGAAGCGCCCTACCACTATTGATATCCTCTTGGTTTGTATTGCTTGACTAACGATACTATGCCGAAGGCTCATGAAGGCTCCAACGGCCTAGACGATGGCTTCCATTCAAGCTTGAGCCAAGAGGATCTAGCAAAACCACTCCTGACCAGCAATGACACTACGCATAAACATGATCATGGTCAAGTGGGGTGGATAGTGAGAGCAGCACAGCGCGTATCCCCCCAGGGTAACGCCATCATGCTATGGCTCACCATTCTCAATGTGGGATTACTGGTAACCTCCGTTATTCTCTTATTCGTGGTACTATCGCGACAGGCCTGCGTCCAGGACCTGAGCGATCAAGACAAATGGAAGTCAACATCTCATTACGGTAACGCTGCCTAGATCTTCCACTCGATTTGCACGTCACACTGACCTGTTCAGCACCTCTACTGGACCGTGTGAATATTCCAAGAGTTACCTTAACCCCAAATGCATCATTGTACGACACTGATCCGCCTTCAATTCTCCGGATCCCGACAGGGAGTGAAGCCGACGCAGAATGGTTCCGCATCGGCACCGGAGTCATGCCGATTATCATATCCTCCGATGAAATCCACAAACTAGGAAAGGATCCCTCGGTTGCGGTGAAAATCCCAGAGGAGCATGGATATGGTGATGATGCATATATCGCACAGACAGAGGTGTTCCATCTCCTTCATTGTATTGACATGCTGCGGAAGGAGATCTCCTACGAGCATTATTATTATCCTCGGTTTGGGAACAATCCGGATGCGGAACATAAGGCACATATTGGTCATTGTATAGATATTCTGGCACAGGCCATCAAATGCTCAAGTAGCGTGGACGTGATTCTGTTCAACTGGGTCGAGGGGTGGGACCAGCCATTCCCTGACTTCAGGAACCAGCATGTTTGTCGGGACTTTGACACTCTTCTGGCGCATGTTAATGAGAATTCGGTTCCACGCTCAGTGTGGAAAACAATGAAAGAGCCACCTGCGGGTTACGTGCGCCTGCCGGAACCTGCGCCGGCACGACCAGCCGAACCAGGTGGCACTGTATGAGGCAATGTGTTTTCTATAGACCCCTAATCATCTGTTACCGATACATGAAAGCATAGAACGGTTATGTACTTTGCTTCGGGTGTCCCGTCTAAATCGTATGTACATCAAGGGTGCCGGTATCATCTCGCAGGCCTCGGACACAAAGGGAACTACAAGTTGATGTAATTTAGAGCAGAACCTTCACCCGCGTACAGAGTGACGCGGGATCCGGTCAGCTCGTTGAAAGAAACTTGAGAACTCAAGACGGCACCTCATTCTAGCGCTCGTAAGACCCGTAATTGTGGTCTTGCCCCAGTGACATAAAAGAATAGTGGCCATAAGACCTTGTGAAGCATAATATATTGTCGTCCATCCCATCTCTCTGGCTTAATCTGGAATATGTTCAAAAGCATAACGTGGAAGGTAACCTCCGGACGTATACGACCGCTTTCAAGGACCGATTTGTGCCTTGCAGGATTCTGAGCTGGTACATTTTCGTCCAATCCGGAATAACCATTCTGATGTTGAGGAAGTTGCCCTAGCCTACCGCAAACTGCTGCAAGAGTTGGTGACGCTGAACATGCATCTTCCCCTATATATGCTTCGCTTGCTGGCAATATGCATATCTAGGATCGATGAAAACCGCATAACCTCAGAGAGCCCCCGTGCAATTTTCCAACCAGACCTACTTGCTCATCCCCGACATAATATGGCACTACGTGAATACAGGTTGAGCCATAGTATTTTACTCTTTCTATTTGATCATCAGGACTAGCTACCTTCCGATATAGGGATGACTTCACAAGTTGTACGTAAACGCCAGGCCATGTGTGAGAGGTTGTCAAAATAGCACAGCAATGGATTGTCCTGTAGTCATGTCAGTCTTTACAAGGCAATATAAACTGTGAAGATACTATACATCATTATACTATTGAAGCCGATAGCAAAAGACTTCCATCCGAGTCGATCTAATGCACGCCGATATTTTTTCCACCCACAATCTGATCTGCTGCAAGCACACGCTAGGCTCATGTGACGTTTGAGTAATGAATCTGCCAAAATTCGCTTTCTAAAGGCTCATCTCCGAATGGAGAGCTCAGCTAATGACAAACCATCGCAACATTGCAGAATGAGATTGACAATCTATCCACCTGAGCCGGCTCTTCCGTATAGACCTATAATAAAGATTTACCAAACAGCAGACCTACAGCCTTGTCTTACAGTTCCGGAGAAAGCTTCCCGCATACATGCGTGTTCTGTTTGGAGGCATTATACCGTCTTCGCCATATAAGCTCCTTCCATGAGCCCATGATTTTGCAGTGCGGACTCTAGGCCCTCACATGGTCTACATGACTCTCCCCTCCCCACCACGAGTTGCCAGACACTCGAGACAAGTTCCACGCGCTAGAGCTTGGTTTGGACATAGTAACCTGTGAATCGTCACACACCTATTGTGTATGAGCGTCAGGGTTGATTCCGCCTTGGCCTGGTTGTAACTTGTTTCCCTCGTGAAAAACATCATAGGCAACTCCGAGGTCGTAAGGGCTAAACCACATTATGGATCGCCACTCCAGCCGTCTGGGCCGTGGTTTCCGGAAGTGTTCATTTTGTCCACTCAAGCATCAAATAGCGACTTGGGGTTTCCTGTCAGTTACCTTGGACCGGGAACGACGTCATCACGAACATATATTCTGTTCCAAGCCTTAGGGGGGGCGTATGGTAACAGTGTCCACTCAATTGACCTCAGGGATCTATCCACGCCATGGTTCACCCCTCTCTGGACGCATGCCTGGGCTAGTCTCTATTTTTAACCTGTCCATTATCTCCCCATCGAAGGATTATGATTACTGTGAGCGCCAGTTACGGCGGTACAGGGCACTTTAACCGTCCGGATAACATATGAAGTTAAGTATTGCCCAAGATATTGGGCCAGGAATACCGGCATACGAGCGTTTTCTCATTTGAAACAGATTAAAGACTATCACACAGTATTGAAAGGACAAATGTCTTATATACTGCCAAGAAGCGAACAGCGATCAAAGGGCACCGAATTGGCTGTGAGTCTCGCTGTTCCTATCACAACCTTCGCGTTCATGGTTATTTTGTTCTTGTATGTATCATCCACATCCATGCAGAGCATCAAGATACTAAGGAAATACTACAGCCTCGCTTTAAAGCTGTGGAGCATGCGGCATCCCTACCAAGTAAGGACGCAGGATAGTGGGGTACAGAGGAAGAAGGTGTATCCTGAACATGTTGTGCTTCGAAGCATTCCGGCCATGGCATTAGCATCACTGGAGCAGTCCCGTGAGTTAGAGAGCAGGCCTCAAACAACGGGCGGAGAGAATTGGTGAGGATATCAAGGGTTATTGCTATACTGCCATTTCTATTAATACTTTCTGCTAGCTCCATTTGCCTTGAACAACTAGGCTCGACTGATATGGTTTTTGACCTCCAATGCTGTCATCTTTTCCACCAGCATTGTCTAGAGCGATGGTACTGGAGCTTCCACCAAACCTGTCCTCTTTGCCAGTCCCCACTGACAAAGCGGATTGCTGCTGAAGATGCTGTGTAGCGGACAATCGCGGAGAGGCACTGTTCCTCTGCGCATTTAGAGACGTATGATAAACTGTGGCCATAAGGCTCTTGGTGCCCATCGAAATGAAAGTGGGCATTGTTCTATAAAGGATCTGCTTGACTCTCTCCTGCACGGTCGGTCTCCAGATGCAAAGCAGACTTTCGAAAGCTTCCACCTGGGTTCCACACCAACGACTAGACAATCATAAAATCTAAATGAATCTTCCTTCACCAGCATACCTCGATCGGGTGTACAAGCTCATATTGGGAAAACACTGAATATTGGCAATAATGTAGACAGTAGTGTTTGAGGAGCCTGGCTTACCCATATGCATGTTCCACATGAAATATTCCACATGGCCTCGGCTCAACTGCTACAGTAGGCATAGGGTTTATGTGAATGACAAAAATCAATGTCAGGTTTCAAGAAAACCAGTTACGGATACCTGTGACTTTCGAGTGGGCATTCCGCTGGACCTTCTGCCATTTACAGCCAATGAGTTCCTTGAGAGATGCATGCCATTGGACAAATCATGCGAATGTATTCCGAGGTAAGACAGTAACATGAGTCTGCAGAATTAAAATAGAAAGTGTAAGAAAATGATAGGCTGCCTTTGAACTGTCGCTCACAAAGTGGATCATCGAAGACGATGCAGACAGCGGACAAGGGGAACAGATCAAGGAAAAGAGTCAGGTTGAGGGGTCATATCCATCCCATGGCAGGAGACCCAATGCACTATTTTCAGAGCGACGGCTTTGGAATGTTTAGGTCGATGAACAATTCCGGAAATCGCAGCAAGCGCGGCTGGAAAGGCGCTGCTCACTCCCAAGACTGTCTCTAGAGCTGCCTGTCTAGAATCGGAAATACCTTTCAGAATAATGAGACTCCCAGACACGGGCCAAGCGGAAGGGATAGGATATGCCGTGCCGTGCCATGGACCTCATGGGTGAGACAGAGAGTCAATCATGGCTGTAGCGATCATGGATATTCGGGCGGCGCGAGAATGTACCGGTTATCCTGCGAAACCAAACACCCAACGTCTGTAATTTGTCACGGATGTCGGGCAACTCGTAGTGATGTGAAGAGCTTCTTGAAGGAGGAGCAATATAGACCATGCGAGGGCCTCTTAGATGATAATATGGCTGACGGCAAATTGGACAGCTTGCATCCTCGCCACAAAGCCAACGGTCGATACACGGAAGGTGAAAAATATGGTCGCATGGAAGGAGCCGATATGGCGAGGCGGGTCCTAATGTCTCTAAACAGAACACGCAAGTATCCGGGAAGGTCTCTACGAACATGTAAGAAAAGGTTGTAGCCGTAGTAGATATGCACGGTCAGACTTGCTATCACTCCATCTGGATTGTCCGAATGCAAACGGCATCTGCGAGAGAAACAGATCTCGTACCGTCAACCTTCCCCGCTCTGTCGGATGAGGTACATGCAGGTAATACCCAGACATTGTAGTATCATATTTGACATATTTGACGAAGTGGACTCAGCTAGAGGGCGTCGCCCCTGTAAAATCCGCCCTTTGGCACATTTATATGGAAGATCCAATGGAACGATCCGGTTCAGGCGGATATGGTCCCTGTCAATCAGTTTAAACGCCTCTTCGTCGAAAGGAAAATGTCATGCAGGCTCGCGCGGGCCGTTAAAGAGAACCACGGAACGAAGCCCGCAACAACAAACTAGGGCATCGTCGTGGAGATGATCACCTGCCAGCCAAGTTCTCCAGGCAGCAATGGATGCTTGTTATATCAGGTAGCAGGGACAGCCACACTATCGAAAATAGAGATGAGGTATCTATCGGCAATTGTCCAGTATCTTTTCGTCCCGAACAGTGCGACAACGTGACCGAGGGTGTTTGATAATAGATCTAAAGTGACAACAACATGAAACTCCACTATGGCCTCCCGCCAATTGGTCATAGCATATCCCAGGATGTCTGACCGCTGCCCTAGTCGTCGTTCCGTGGTCGGCTATCGTCATGCTATGACAGTCTGCCTTGTGTGTCCACCCTCGATCAGGTGCGCTGGACAAACATCTGCAACACACCCATGGTGTGTGTCGTTTTGAGTGTCGAGAAATTGGTGGTATAGAACAGTCGCAACCGGGTTTCACGAATCCCCTGATGGGGCAGGAATTGTATCTACAGCATCCGCGCCAATGGATAGCGCCAAAGTATTGTAGTACTACCGGTGCATCATTAACTTGCCACAGCGGACCGTCCGTGCCGCCTGTGCGTGCGGACAGGTTGCCAAACAATGATACTATCATGAGTATATAAGGTTTTCCTGGCCGCCGGCCGACACACCGACCATGTTACAAGGCTTGCTACATCTCTAATCGCTACATCGTTGACAAGAATGGAGAATAAGAAGACACACCGGCAGCGTAGCAGGCAACGCCCTGCAAAATACTGGCATTCACTGACCCAACTCAAATTCTGCCGTGACTATCGTAGCGATCTACCACCCAGCCTCTCCCGTTTTACAGGATATCGTCCCCCAGATGAAGGACCTCCTTATGACCCGCTACCAATACCTCCATTCATATGGCTGCCCAAAGTTCCCTTAAAGTATGAGACATGGCTCTTTGCATGGATCGGGGCTTTTGGGGGGATTCTCTTGATTGAGGCAATTATGTCCACTGAGACAGCATTCCGCGATGTATACCATACCCCTACTATCATCACATCCTTCGGGGCCTCAGCTGTGCTGCTCTTCGGGGTGGTCGAATCCCCTGTCGCCCAGCCTCGCAACTTTATCGGTGGCCATTTTCTTTCTGCATTGGTTGGAACCTGTATCACTCGGCTTTTCGTCCTCAATGGTCAATACCAGGGATATTTAGACAACACTCACTTTCACCCTGCGACCTTTATCAATGGGGGCATCTCGATGGCCACGTCGTTACTTGTGATGTTAATGACAGGAACTGTTCACTTACTGTGCGTCGCCTTCCTCCCACAGGGTCACGCAATACTAACTGTTCAGCCAGGGCCGGAGCGACGGGTCTCAACGCAGCCGTTCAGTCGGACGTTGTCAGCCTATCGTGGCGCTATCTTCCAACCGTACTTGCTTCATCATTGATTATGCTGGCCTGGGCAATCCTGGTCAATAATCTGGGTCGTCGGAGGTATCCCCTTCATTGGTGGGCTCCTGGGCCGACTTTTGTCCTGCCTCCGGGCCAAAACCACGACCAGGAACTGCGTCGAGTAGAAGAAGGCGAGATAGACAGGGGCGCGTCGGAAGGAGATCTCGCCGTTGAAACTGGCAATCCTTCGGAAGCCCACCGTTAACGAGCCAATTCTATCATAGCAGGTAGTTCCGGCCGTGCTGATACTGCTCACATTTGAGAGTCACCCAATGTGACGAGGGATTCCATATATCTAAGTGCGTGTCTTGTTTTCATATCAGCGGAGCGACCATCAGTGGAGCACTGGCACGCATGTTGATTATAAAAGCGGTTATACGTTTCCCTCATTAGAGTTCGGGGACTAGCAGCAAGCTCGTGTATTGATCTGCCCCAGCATCGAAATGCCCTGTTCAACGCACGATTAGATGGCTCTAGATTGCTAGCCTTGATTCCCCCCTTGAATGATCTAACTATCCGATACTTCCGGACCTTGCTACCCAGCACCATCTTGCCATATTGGCATAGTCATGTTCATTGATCTCGTCGGTATCTCGAATCGCACGCTGTCGTACAATTCTGAAGGTTTCTTTTTTAATGGGCTTTGTCCATGAATTTATATCTTCCTCGATAATATCTTCGCCCAATATACTGTCCTCCTTCTTGGGTTGACCGGTAGATGCCAAAAAATAACTGACCCAAACGCAACTCCCAAACGTCATGTAGATAATTCCGAGGGAGACGAACGGGGTCAATTTTCCATCACCCCATTAACCAGCATTGGGACCAAGAGCGTGACACCAGGTTCCAAATCTCGTCCTTAGATTTTCATTCACCTCCAGCAGTATGCTTTCGCGCCGTCGGCTAGTTCGACTTGGCCGTCTCACTTGTCCTGTGTATTTTCCGTGTGACTTTGATACTGTTCATCACGGAAACTCTCTGCCACCTATTGGATTAACAGAGATGGTTATACGAGGAAGGGCAAATGCAGCTAGACCCAGTATACTACGACAGAGAGTCGGAGAGAACGTTTGGCTTAGCTTATCAATTGAGACCAGAAGTACGGCCAGGATGTGTAAGACGTCGACATCGTAATACAATGGCGCCGTATTGAATGCAGCGCCTGGACGATGCTGCGAAGACAAGGAACCAACTTGATTTGTGTACAAGGGCTTCTAAAATGGCACCAGATGCATTATACTTGTGTAAGCTTATAATTTAAACGAGGGGCCGTGAGTGATGGTGTGGTTGATTGCAAAACTAGAGTTTAGAGCAAACAGAGTAACCCAAAGGTTTTCTCAATGAGTGGATAACCTTTTTCTAACCCACGATTTTATTCCCCCAAGAGACACATGGCATCGATGGGAGGCTTCGTCTGCTGAGGAATTCGATCGTAACGTGCAGATCTTCCCCCGACGTCGATATTCATAGAATTTACGACGGCACAGAGGGCAGCTCGCATCTTCGGTACAAAGCCAACAATCGATACAAGGTAGATGAAAAATATGTTTGCACGGTAGAGCACGGTAGGCGGATTCGGGGCCCAACTGCTCCCAGCAGAGCTCACATTCCTTGGGGAGTGCGCCTATCCTTCCGTCAGTCTTCCGTCCGAGATAGTGGCTGTGACCAGTTGTCTGGACCCACCTGGCTGGCTGACCGTCCAGTCTTTCGATCCAAAATAGCGCGGCATGGGCGCCAATGCGAGCTCTTGTTGTGTGAGCCCACCTCTTTCTGTCGGCGAAGGTATCTGTAGATAGTCTTGGGCCATGACGCTCTGACTCAGGAATATGTGACATCCGGTATTGGCTATGGAGATGGAACACCATTGCTGTATTGCAAGTCTCTGGACAGTCTTAAGCTGTCACGACTGATCCAGCAAGTCCCTTTCTACCATCATAACCGTGACTTCCGTAATTCATTCGTCCGGCACAGGCAGACGGGTCGCACGGGTGGGGCGGAACTTGGACGGACCGCAATTTGCAGCGCTCAGGTTCCAATGGCAAAGGATTAGTGGCTCTTATGATGATGCTGCCGGAGGGCAGAGAGGTGACCTTCGAGGCTTGCTCGGCGGTGGAGGGGACTGTCTTCTCGAGGTACGGGTGATGGGCAACACACTTCGCTCAAATGGCTCAGAATATCTGAGCCTCCACGAGACAGTGCCTGTTCGAGATAGATCTCCGAGTCGTCGTGCGCGAGCTGTCCTCTCTCGACCGGTTCAGGGGCTCCAACCTCGCTCAATGCCGCATATTCCTCGTCTGAATCTGTCTCAGAATCTGTACCTTCTCCGCCCCTTCTAGGGGGATTGTTCGAAGGCAGATAAGACGCTAGTAACTGTAATGTAGCAATCAGACCCACGCACATAATTGCAGTCTGGTTCTTGCCGAAAAGGTTGCGACTGGCAAATGGAGACGGCGTCCTCCCATAGCTATGTGTTATACGACACTGCGGGTAAAACGGGAATGTTGTGGATGAAACATTAGCAACGAACGTCGGCTTTTCCGGTATTGTATCCGAGCCACGGTTCGACCGCGAACGGATCCGCCCCAATCCACCGAATTAACACACATCGGACAAACATAGGAAATCCCGCGATATGCGTATTTCATGGGGACCTGGGACAGTATCTTAATGTATTTGATTTACGGGTGAGACACAAAGTATTTAGAGTGAAAAGAATGCTAAGGAAATAGAACGTATGAAGAATCAAGGGTGCCTGCTGCCGTTAAATGAGATGGGGAATATATATCTTGCCAATGTGATATCGACTGGACATTGATTATTCCAAGGACACAATCGACAACATCCGTATCCAACCAGGGAATATACAATAGTGACTATGATCTTCATGAGCGATGCAGAGAATTTCCTCTCGCTCCGGACGGCCCGCCCGCCTGTCCAAAATTCGGATGATCCAGAAACTGCACGGACCATTCCATCGCTCTGGAGATCTCGCTCGGCCAGTCGTATGAGAAGGGGATATCGCTGAGCAGGAGTGACGAGGGCAATGTGTTGGGCGCAGGGTTGCTCGGCGTGCTTGCACTAGCGGTCGAAGTCCCTAGTGGTGCGGGAGGAGGGTAGTATGTAGACGCACTCGCACGGCCAACTAGGGGGTGTAACGGGGTGGTCGGGCGGGAAGAGAGGTTTTCCGGCAAGGGAAGTTCTAGCCTGGTTTAGCGCCTGGGTGACAATCATGGCATGCCAGAGGGCACGGTGTGCGCGAGACTTACGCTCCTCCCCCAGGCGTCGTGCGCGTGACAACGCACTTAACATATCCGCCGCCTTCTGCGCCGCCACTGAATTAACGCTCAGCGCCTCAAACACCTTCAGGCAACTCTCGGCATCCTCACGCAGCGCCTGCGGCGACGTTCGTCCATGAAGGAAAGCATTGTCACTGTAAAAGGTCTCCGCAACGAAGAGGATCGAGCTCGCGCAGATCAGACAGGAGATCATTTGCCACCAGGGGAAATCATGGACGAGGCTGCGCTCGTCGGTGACGTTATGCAAGAGGTGGGCAGTTTGCTGGGCCTCATGGATGCAAATGTATTCTGCTTCGGCGATGCGTTCTTTGTGCTGGAGGAGGAGGTCGAGGAAGGGCATGTTGTTCATTTGGAGGAGGGGCAGGCAGAGGAAGGGGCGGTGGATGAGGGCGCGAAGGTGGTGGAATTTGACGGCGAGCATGTTGCGCTAAGGTCGGGTTAGTATATGACTCGTATCTTGAGACCCTGTGGATGTAAGGCGAGGGCAAACCTGGCGTTTGAAAGAGACCGATTTCTCGAAGGTGTGGCCCAGGTCGAAGCGGAGGTGCCGCGGGAGTTGCAGCTGCCATTCGGTAAGGCGATGGTCGAGCGTCGCGGTACTCTGGAGCATTTGCTCCGGTGACATGTCGATCTGGGATGGTCGATATAGCTCCCGGATGACCAATCCTAAGATACAAGAAAAGTCGATGACGGCGATGAAATAGTCCATCATATGTCCACGGACTCGATTGCGCTCCGGGCTGGCGATATGGTCGCCGCCAGGACTAAATGGTGCGTCGTCGGTGGCAGAAGGGAGGTCAACATGAAAGTCGGCTTCATGGATTGCCATCGGCCGTCCGAGCTGCAGAGCCAAGAGCCGGTCGAGCACATACAGGGAGTACCACGTGCGCCGCCAGTGGGAGCGGTCCTTGATCCACGGCTCCTTGGACAAGGGGCAGTTGGGCGAGTTCTCTACATGTAGACCGATGCTATGGCCCATGCGGATGGCGAATCCCAGGGTATTCCAACACCTGGTCGAGTTAGCCACCGGCAAAGCAAGTCAGGCAGACCGAATACCTATCTGTATGGCAAACGGCTAGTAAGAAGAAACACTGCACGAGCAAATTCCAAATATTGACAAGAGAGCAATCAGCGCCGAGTTCACGTGAGAAGTAGAGCCCTTGTTCGAAATACCGGAAATAATGACACGAGCCGCCGTGCCTCCCGTGCGGGAACGAGGTATAGTAGGATCCGATGGCGAAAATGAAGTCTACATCACCGATTAACCGACCCACTCTTGATCCAGGGGACATTTCCACGGGGCATCGTACTGAATAGTGCCAGCCACGGCCGAAACTCCGGCTGGTTGTGGTCGCCCGCCTGAAATCGGCCAAATTCTCGGAGGAGCACCGATTTACCGATGAACGGATACGCAATATGGATAGTCGACAGATAGACGTCCAAAAACTGTTCTGCTTCAGCTGGCGAGGGTACCAACGGCGGTTGGGTCAACGCCACGAATGCCCCTAAATTGGGATGATGAGTATAGCTCTGAGTGGGGAGATCGTCTTCATCGAGAGAGCCATTTCCAGTCACATATTTCCGGATGGAATGGACGAAATGGATATCGCTTGCCTTGCCCACATAAGTAGGCGAAGACTCCGTGGTATCGTCATCCGGTGGGGCGGCTATTGCGTTCGAACTGGGCTGTTCGGTTTTGGTAGCATCGGGGAGTTGATTCTGAATATTCTGCAGACCAGCATCAAGCTTCGCCTGTTGAGCAGAATCCAAGTGCAGCCTGAGCTCGCGAATCAATGCTTCATAAGATTGCGTGGCGTTTGCGTAGGCTGTGAGGAATTCCCCCGTCGTGCCGCCGGACAGCGCACCGTGAGCATCACGACCAGACTCGTCGAGTCCTCGACGGCCCAGATCAGGCTGACTTCCTGGCGACCCTCTCGGTTTGCGCGCCGACCATGAACAGGTGAACCCATATCCGTCACATCTGGAGCACACTGGTTGGCGGCCGTCACACTGCCAAGTTAGAGCTGGTTGTAAGCGCGGAGAACGGAGCAAACCTTTGCTTTGAGCAGGCGGCACTTGTCGCACGCAACCCCGACACGCTGACGCTTCATCCTAGGTGATCTTATTACGATCCGGTAGAACCGTGCGACAGGAGGCTCGGGAGTTAACGCGTACAAGAAGACCAGGATGGACTTGTGCGATGGTAATAGGATACATGACCTTCACGTCAATAACAGTGGTTTTCCACCACCGCCCCGGCCGGACCGCCCGATCCGGTGCTGCCGACTACGAGTCGTTTTTGTTGGCCCAGAATGCCCCCGCGTCAACTTAATCTTCCCCCCTTTTTCTTTTGTCAAAAAAGAGAGAAAGGAAAAAAATAAAAAAAAAATGGAGAAAAAGGGGAGGAAAATAAATAATAATTAAATTGACGCGTGACTGACCTCATCGTTTTGCTGTCAAGTCTCTTCGGCTTTGCAGAACTGACAATGAACTCGGATGGTTCGCAGCAGAATGGTCGCCCTGGACCTCACGATGGAAGCAATCTGAACGAGGTTGCTGGCCCACCCCCTGTGTACGATCCGTCTGAGCAGTCGGTGCGGCTGAAGGATTACCTGGAACATCAGCCAGAACGCAGCGCTCAGATCAGCCCTCGAGACGCCAGAAATGAGCCTGTTGGACCCGATGATGTGCAGAGCCCGGACGAAACCCTGCACGAGAAACACCCGAAACCAGGACGCATCTCGAAGTTCCTGCAGACGACGTACATTGTGTCCTATCTTGTTTTATTCTCGATGGTTGGTACTCTACTCCGGGTGGTCATTGAATGCCTGACCTTCTACCCGGGGACACCAGTCAATACCAGTGTTCTGTGGGCGAACGTTGGGGGCAGTACGATCATGGGCTTCCTGAGCGAGGACCAAGAGCTGTTTCACTTTGAAAGCGTCAAATCAAGTCTCCCTGGCCATGTGCGAAACGACCCTCCACAGCGTGCCGCGCATATCAAAGCCCACAGGAAAACCGTACCGTTGTTTATCGGACTGACCACGGGCTTCTGTGGAAGCCTTACGTCTTTCTCCACCTTCATGCGCGATGCCTATCTGGCACTCTCAAATAACCCAGTGGTGCCAGCCGGATCGTATGACGAGGTCTCCCTGTTCGCGTCTGGCTCTGCCAGTTTGAAATCTCCTAATGGCGGGTTTAGCTTCATGTCCATTCTCGCCGTCCTCTTCACGGAGATCGGTCTCTCCTTGGCCGGTCTCTTTCTTGGAGCTCATCTTGCAGTGGGTCTCTCTCCATGGACGCCCAGTCTGCCTCAAGTGTGGTTGCGGAAATACGTCGACCCTTTGTCCGCTATCCTAGCTTGGCCATTATGGATCCTTGCCATCTGTCTCGTGGTCCTTCTCCCCCAAGCTCACGGAGCAACCACGTTATGGAGTCCAAATATATGGCGCGGACCGTTTCTTTTCTCTCTTGTCTTTGCACCCATTGGCTGCTTATCCCGCTTCTATCTCTCCCTCAAGCTAAATAGCCGGATAATCGGTTTCCCACTGGGAACCTTTACGGTTAACATAGTCGGCACGATGGTATTTGGAATGGCCTACTCCGTACAACATGCCACAGTCAGCACTTCTCCGCTCACCATAGGCGGAATTACCGGCTGCGAGGTGCTGGAAGGAATCATGGACGGGTTTTGCGGGTGTCTGACAACAGTCAGTACCTGGGTTCTCGAACTGTCCGATTTGCGGCGTCGGCATGCTTATATTTATGGGAGTGTGAGTGTGGCAGTTGCTTTGTGTTTCCTCGTCGTCGAAATCGGGAGTCTGCAGTGGACTCAAGGACTCGCCACACCTGTGTGTTTCCGATGACACCGTAGGTGTTTCACCACGCGGCTGTCCTGGGATGGAAGAGGCTCCATCTGGGGGCATTCCCATAGATCTTGTCAGTCTACCTGCCCATAAAGTCAGAGATCATCGCGAATCAATGTGCCTGTGGTCACGTTATATATCTAGGCACCGAGAAACACATTACAACTTCATTTCATTCCTAAAAATGCCTTCATCACTCTTAGAGACGTATTGCACCGAGTCCATAGAAGCCCATGTTCGTTCCGGTCTCAGCCGAATTAAGAGATTTACATAGTACCTGTTCCCAGCTAAGCTTACTGCAAAGTCCCTTCTCCCGCAGCTTCAATACGAAGTCTCGAGCGGCTGCGCTTCCCCCCTCAACGCACGCGCCGATAGGATATGTCCATGCGCCGCGCAGACTACATCTATATCCCTGAGCTCACCACCTTACGTCATCAGTAACTGTCCTGGAAATTGGTTACAGAGGTAGGTACATACACCAGCCCGATCCTACCGCGCTGGATCACCTTGTTGTTGCCCGCCTCGTCGCTAATGAAGTGCACCGCATTGTTATGGGCCTGCTCCTCGCCATTGGGCGTCAGCGGAATCTCTATGGGCCCGGTACATTGCTGGTTTAGGGGCCATTCGGTCTCGCCGTGATGGATGAGGACGATCCGTGATGGCATGTTTTCATGCTTTTGGCATCCGTTTAGGATCGGGAGATATTTGATAGATGTACCTAGCTATCTCGTACCGATTTAATATGCTACGGCATGAATACATAGGAGACAACAAGCAGTGGTGGGTAGATAAAATTTGGAACGGTCACTAGTCTTTTTATGCGTTTCTTGGTCACGCGCAAGTCACTTTCTATAGCGAGCGATATCCCACACCACTAGAAGTTATACCACCGCGGTTCTCGGAATCTGATAAAGGAATTTCCTGCAATCCCAACCGGTTAAATATTTACTTGGAGAAAATGTCGCTGCGATACCAATATCCTGCCAGTGTACGCTAAACATCGTCCTTGATCTCTTCAACAGTCCATTCGGCCCTCTCGGCCCTGCGAGCCTCCCACTCCCTATGGACTATTATTCCAAGAATGCCGAAACCAACGAGAAAGACAATGACAAATACAAGGATCACCCCGGGCTGGGTTTGCGCCCAGTCACTTCGCCTCACATGTTGATGGACGTCAAAACGCGAAGGTTGGAAAGCATGCGCGGTGATGACCGGCATACCGGAGGAGCGGACTCTTGGGGTATCTCTCAATTAGTATCCGACAGGCGATAGCAGTATTAACACCATGAAGATATACTGACTACGTCACGGCTCATGCGGCCAGAGTCGGCAGACAAATCCTAGTAGACAGCGAGGTGCGTGGGATTGGGGTTCCGAGAAACAGACCCCAGCAACAACATTGCGATGATGAGCTAAATGCAGAAGACAGCAGGACTACCACATCCCAGATGCTTCTAACTCCTTAATCTATGTGATCTTCCAGCGCATGAGGTCACCGATCGCCTCTTATGACTCACCGGGTCGTCCGGTCCGTCCGGCCATAAACCTTCTATGCCTGGTTTTAACCCTATGTAGAATCGCCGAACAAAAGTATAGACAGCTTTTCCTCGGAGATGACGTTAGATACTGTCAGCGGATCACTACCACGATTTACCCCTTTGCGGTCATCGGATTCACATAAGAGTCTTTCGCGGGATATACAGAGTTCGCCTAGAACCTAAACCGACTGGGCATTAGCATCGCTTTCGCAACCACATTGCGCGTGGCCGTGTTGATTTCGTATGTGTGACTCTAGAGCCCGTTACGCACTGGGCCTTAGGATTTATTGCCTGGTAAAATGGCCCCGACCATGCCCCAAGACAACCCCGGCGACGCCGATCACGCTGCTCAGCAACTGCAGTCCCCCACGAATGTCGAAGACCCTAGTGACGTCGATGAATTCACTCGCCTCGTCAAGTTCATCTCTGCGTACCGAGAATCCGACTTCGTCCGCCCCGACGAAGGTGAGGTGCGCGTCCACCGAGTGTGGTATGCCCCTTGGCGCAAGAGGAAATTCCGCTGGAAACACATCGGCGGATCCTCGCGCACGTTCCCTGACAGTTGGCTCCTGACTGATATCCGAGATGGTCTGACTGATACGGACGTTACTCATCGGCGTAATGTCGCCGGGTTCAATGAACTGGCTTCGGAGAAGCAGAACCCATTTGCGAAGGTTATATCATATTTCCAGGGGCCTATTCTTTATGGTACGCTCTGCCTACTACCTTGATTCGCACTTCCTGGCTTGCATCATCATGCTTAATGCTGGGCTACATAGTGATGGAGCTCGCCGTCCTGCTTGCCGCTGGACTAGAGGATTGGATCGATTTCGGCGTCATAATTGGGATTCTTTGTCTGAATGCCGCCGTCGGTTGGTACCAGGAGAAACAGGCCGCAGATGTTGTTGCAAGTCTGAAAGCCGACATTGCTATGCGGGCTACGATCGTGCGCAACGGGCAGGAAATGGATTGTCTGGCTCGAGAATTGGTTCCTGGGGATGTGGTAAGTATACCTACAGTGAAACCACACTCTACAACGGATTCTGGCTCAAGCCATGCTCTAGATCGTGATCGATGAGGGACAAACCGTTGCTGCAGATGCTAGGGTCATTTGTGCGTACAACAATCGTGAAAACGGGTGGAAGGAGTATAAGGAACTCTTACAGGACGGGGTGCTAGACGGCTCAAGCCCTCAATCAGAGGACGGCGACCCCGGTGAGGATGCGGGGACCAGACGCGGGCATTCGATTGTAGCGTGCGATCATTCAGCGATTACAGGGGAATCGCTCGCCGTGGACCGATACATGGGGGACACCGTCTTCTACACGACCGGGTGTAAGAGGGGCAAGGCGTATGCGGTGGTCCAAACAACCGGCCAGAGAACCTTCGTTGGGCGGACCGCAGCCATGGTGCAGGATTCCAAGGACACTGGCCATTTCAAGATGGTGATGGATAGTATCGGAACATCGCTTCTGGTATTGGTAATGGCCTGGATTCTAGCGGTGTGGATTGGCGGGTTCTATCGGAATATCCCCATTGCATCACCCGGAGAACAGACGTTGCTGTTCTATACCCTGGCGCTGATGATTATTGGGGTCCCCGTTGGTCTTCCGGTGGTCACCACAACGACCTTAGCTGTTGGGGCTGCGTATCTGGCGAAGAAAAAAGCCATTGTGCAGAAGTTGACTGCCATCGAGTCTCTTTCTGTAGGCCCTTTCTATCCCACTCCAGACCCCCCCCCCTCTTTCAAGTTTGAGGCTGATCGTAGAAGGGAGTCGATATCTTATGCTCGGATAAAACTGGGACTTTAACCGCCAATCGCCTTAGCATCAGAGAGCCGTTCGTGGCCGAAGGAGTGGATGTGAACTGGATGTTCGCCGTGGCGGCGCTGGCCTCCTCGCATAACGTGAACGCGCTGGACCCGATCGACAAGGTGACTGTGCTCTCACTGAAACAGTATCCCAGAGCGAAGGAAATCCTGCAGCAAGGGTGGAAGGTAGAGAAATTTCACCCCTTCGACCCCGTGTCCAAGCGAATTGTCGCGGTTGCAACGTGTAACGGTGTCCAGTATACATGCACGAAGGGGGCCCCCAAGGCCGTTTTACGGCTGACCAATTCCTCCGAGGCAAAGATGTATAAGGAGAAGGCGACGGAGTTTGCCAGTCGTGGATTCCGTTCCCTAGGTATTGCCGTGCGTAAAGAAGGCGAGGACTGGAGGCTACTTGGGATGATGCCCATGTTTGATCCCCCACGGGAAGACACCGCACAGACAATCGCTGAGGCCCAAAAACTGGGTATAGAAGTCAAGATGTTAACTGGGGATGCAATAGCCATTGCAAAGGAGACTTGCAAACAATTGTCGCTTGGCACGAAAGTCTACAATTCCGAACGGCTCATCGGCGGAGGCCTGGGTGCTATGGCCGGAGACCTTGTGGAACGAGCAGATGGGTTTGCGGAGGTGTTTCCAGAACATAAATATCAGGTGGTGCAGATGTTACAGGAGCGTGGACATCTCACAGCAATGACGGGAGACGGAGTCAACGACGCGCCCTCGTTGAAGAAAGCGGACTGTGGGATCGCAGTCGAAGGCGCGTCCGAGGCAGCCCAGTCCGCTGCTGATATCGTCTTCTTGGAACCGGGACTCTCCACCATTATCGATTCTATCAAAGTCGCGCGGCAGATCTTCCACCGTATGAAGGCCTATATCCAATACCGAATAGCACTCTGTCTGCACCTTGAGATCTACCTCGTAACCGCCATGCTAATCCTCAACGAGAGTATCCGTAGCGATCTAGTCGTGTTTCTAGCACTGTTTGCAGACCTCGCCACGGTCGCTGTGGCATACGATAACGCATCCTACGAGCTGCGTCCTGTCGAGTGGCAGCTGCCAAAGATCTGGATCATCTCCGTTATTCTCGGTATCTTGCTCGCCGCAGCAACATGGGTGATCCGGGGCACCATGTTCCTTCCTAACGGTGGCATTATCCAGAATTGGGGCTCAATCCAGGAGATTATATTTCTCGAAGTGGCACTGACCGAGAATTGGCTAATCTTCGTGACTAGAGGCGGCGACACATGGCCATCTGTTCAGCTAGTGGGTGCGATCTTCGGCGTTGATGCCCTGGCTACAATCTTCTGCTTGTTTGGCTGGTTCTCAAATCGGGATATGGCTACTAACCCGTTCGACCAGCTGCTGGACTCCCCAAAAGAAACTCATAACGGATGGACCGATATCGTGACTGTTGTCCGGGTCTGGGGGTACTCACTGGGCGTGACTATTGTGATTGCGTTGTTGTATTATGCCCTCAATAAGATTCGATGGTTGGATGACCTGGGCCGGAAGAAGCGCAGCAGAGGCGAGATCCAGGTCGAAAATATCCTGAGTCATCTAGCCCAGGTCACTGTTCAGTATGTCCAGGAGGCTGGGACGGGCAGTGGACGATTCTTCCTGGCGTCCAGTAA